GTTCTCTGCTTCTTGCCCAGGACAGGGGGCTAAAGACCCCCATATGCGAGGAGAGTATGCTGAGTCACGGAGTCGCCTCCCAAAACAGCGAGCTGGCATCTCAGACTGTCTTTTCCTCTCTCCAGAGACCCAGACGCCCCTGGGGCCCAAAGCCTCCGATCCCTTTGAGTGTTTTTTTCTGCCATGACCCCAGCTATCCAGCTCTAGTGCAGACACTCTCGGCCTCCCACTGCAGTTCTTTCCCTAACCAGCAAAAAACACTGGAAAATTCCTTCTTAGGCCGAATGGAAGGTCTGTGCTTCCCCCTTTGCAAAGAGCTGTTGTGCCATGGCCCCCCACCCACTCCCTGAAGGTCGTGCATTCCCACTTTTCACCCACTCTTGACACGGCACGGTCTGAAGTCTGCCCAGCTTCCTGGTCACACCCCAGATTGGTCATGTCCGCCGTCAAGCAGAGTGCCCAGAACAAGACGTCATGTTTCATGAGTTGTCTGGAGCGTGTAACTGGAAGTCCTAAAAAGCTGGGAACTAGTTCTCCCAGTGTCGCCTTACCTCCCACCGTCAGTGTTAGAGCTTTATGTGGCAAGCATTGCCACACCTGTCCACCTTGAAGATGCACTGTGCTTCCCAGCAGTGAGACTGCAGGCAAATTTCATCCCCTTGTGGCCTCAGTTTCTTCGTTTGTAAAGGGAAGGGTCCGTGTAGATGATCTGTGCCTGTGCCATTCAACAGAAACGAAACATGAGCCACATATGTAACCAAAATCTTCTAGTCGTCACAAGCTCAAAAAAGTAAAAAGAAACATGTGAGATTAGTTGTAATAGTATATTTTATTTAACTTAATTCATCTAAAATATTAACATGTAATTGATATGAAAGTTATTAATGAGATGTTTTCCCTTCTTTTCCCTCTTCCTGTGTTTTTCAAATCCAGTGTGTGTCGTACCGCCATAGTGCATCTCAGTGTGCACTGGCCGCGTTTCAAGTGTCCAGTGGCCGCAGGTGACTAGTGGCTACTATATGGAACATTATCTGGGCTCTGCAACTGTAGGGCTCTGTGATTCTGTGGAATAGCCTGGCAAGGAACTTCTTAAGGTGTGGGTGCATTTATCTGATACTTTCCTTGGAACAGCAGAGGAATATGAGAGCCTTGGGGTGGGGCCAGTCAGTACCCATGTTTGGTTTTTTTGTTTTTGAGGAGGATTAGCCCTGAGCTAACTGCTGCCAATCCTCCTCTTTTTGCTGAGGAAGACTGGCACTGAGCTAACATCTGTGCCCATCTTCCTCTACTTTCTATGTAGGACGCCTACTACAGCGTGGCTTGACAAGTGGTGCCATGTCCGCACCCGGGATCCAAACCGGCGAACCCCGGGCCACCGAAGTGGAACGTGCAAACCTAACCGCTGCGCCACCGGGCCAGCCCCAAGTACCCATGTTTTTGAGCAGCTGCTACATGGCAGACACTTTACATATGTGGACTCTGCCCCTGTAACAACTCTGCAGGGTAGACGGCCATGTCACAGGTGATGAACCTGAGGCTCAGGGAAGTTAAGCAAGCTGTGTTGAAAGCCGCAGAGCTGGTAGAGACGCAGTAGAACCCATATCTGCCCGGGCCGCAGAAGCAATCTCCTCTTCTTCATGGATGGGTCCCCCGAACCTGCCCTGAGGTGTGGGGCTGTGAGGAGAGTGGTGGGTTGTGCTGTGTGGGGCTCATTGCCATAACAAGCAGCCAGCTGGTAGGAAATGAATTGAGCCCACTATAGGCCCTGGACGTGGTTGTTACTCTACTCGGGTCTGAAGGACCAAGTGGGCTCTGAGACCCATCCAGGATCTCTGGTTACCCCTGTGTCTGTCTCTTCGAACAAACTTGATTGGGAAGACAAGCTCCCTGAGGTGAGACTGGCATATATGGAAGTGCAGGTTGTGCACTGCTCAAAGGTACATGGCCTAAGGGGCAAGTGGAGTCTGCAACCCAGTCCCTGTTCCACTGGCCACGCTGTGGCTCCTAGCATCAGTTTTTATCCAGCCAGAGGAGTGCCTTTATAGTTGACACACAGGCCCCAGACAGGTTAGTACAGCCCTGCTGGAGAACAGAACAGGGATATTCTGCAAATTTTTCGCTCTAGTGCAGAGCCTTGAAGTTCCTCTACCAAAGACTTTTCCTTTCCCCTCCCTTCCTCAAACCTCTGACCTAGGCTGGGGCTTGACCCTGCTCCCACCCCCTATTCACACACAAACACACACACACACACACACACACACACACACGCACGCGCGCACACACACACCCCTGCATGAACATCCCCCCGCCCCCACCTCTGTGGCTTCAGCAGCAGCCTCCAGGAGCAGGGCCTCAGGGCTCAGCCAGCCCGGCGGTGCCCGGCCCCAGTCTCTGCCCAGTCATTGCTGGGAGAGCAGAAACAGCCCACCGGCCTCTCGCCCCACACCCCCGCATTTCAATCCTCCAGGAAAAATGGAGGCATCTGCAATGCAAGGCCCGACTTGTTGATGTAAAATCTTACTCTATATTCCACCCAGGTTTATACGAGTGAATTATGCAAATCTTTGATGGAAAAATATTCCTCCGCACATCCTTGAGCGTGTAAAACCTTAGTCAATAATTCATACTCAGATGTCTCTGACTGCAGGCTTTTTCTTCATTATAACTTGCACCTCGTTATTTGTCTTTTGGATTTTATTGTATATCCTGGTGTAATGCCGTGCATTATAAAATTTATCTGCTTCATTATTTGATGAGCTGGGGCTGGGGATGTTCTGAGATGCTGGCTCAGGGGCTGGGGCCAGGGCTGCCCTCGGTATCCAGTCCCGCATGACAGAAGGTGGAGGAGGTGGCTGGCTTCACGATGTGACTTCAGGGACACCGGAAGCCACCCTTCATCACCCACACCTGTTCCAAAAGTCTCCTCACCCACTGACTGACATCTCCGGTGGCACTGTCACAGCTCCATGCCTTCCTTACTTTCACTGAAGGCTTATTTGGCCTTAGAAGTCAGATGACCCTGGAGAGTCTGCTGGGGAGAACATTGTCTTGGTAGGTCTTTAAAACTGGAGGGGAGAGAAATCCTGAGGACTCTGGGAGGGAGAGAAAGGGCCAGCCACTGAAGTGGAGCAGGGACGCGGTGCCCCGAGGGGAGCCCGGGGGCAGGGAGGTCATGAGAAGAGAGAAGACAGAGCTCCCTCTTGCACCATCACCCAAGCAGGCCGGTGATGGGGTGTGGGGAGCAGGGTCTCTGCTCTGCAGAACTCAATGTGAGGAGGGAGATGGGGGATGGTGTCTGATTCTTGCAGTCCACCACAGCGCCCCCCGTCTCCAGGATAGCTAATGGGCTCTCCTCCCAAGACGAGAGCCACTGGGGGCCTGTACTCCAAGAGGCACGTTTCCCCAGGGCAGTGGTAAGGAAGAGGCAGGACAAGGACAGTCCTCCAGGTGCGTCAGAGCACTTACCTCTCCAGGCCTGCCCTGCGTGTTGCTCCCTCTGAGCCTTTGCTCCAGCAGGTTCCAATGCCTGGGGTGCCCTTTTCTCTGACCCCCATTTAGGTGATGCCATGTCAGGTGCTGTGTGTTCCTCCTAGCATGGTACTTACCACTCTTTCCTGGACTTGCTGGTCTTCTTGTCCATTCTCACCACCACAGTGAAAGCCCCCGAGATCAGGTTTGCCCTGTTCACTGTCAGCTCCAGAACCCAGCATGAGCCCTGGCCCGGAGTCGGTGCTCAGGGAATGCTTGTTGGATGGATAGACGGTGCCTTCCCAGACACACCTCAGTCAAAATTAATTTCTCCCAGTACCTTGGTGAAACTCTCATCGGATTTTCCTCATTTTCGTGTGGCTCAGGCCTCCCCTCCCCCATCTCGTGTCAGGAGTATCCCCCAAGCCTGGCGCAGTACCGTGTCATGGCGTAGGTGCTGAATGCGTGTTTGTTGAGTTGGATGGAGGAGAAAGGGGACAGGATTTCACTGGCAGCCGGCACCATCTTCCCCTCAGCCCCTACCCTCCTCCTGCTGTCTGTCGGCTGGGTTGCTCAGGCCCAGAGGAGGGTCAGGCTGGAAACGCTTCTTGTCGGGGCAGTGAGAGGGGTCTCTGATGCCAGCCAGGGCCTTGGTTGTTTTGTGATGATTTTCTCAGGTCAGCAGTGGGTGGGGGGCTGAGGGGGTGAGATCTTAATGATGGCCCTGCGATCCACGTTTTCTGTTGCACTTTTTCTGGAAGAACAGAGGAGTTTCTCAGCTGTGGGAAGGGGTAACCAGCTGACTGCTGTGCAGAGACACAAAGCAAAGGCCCAGTGGAGGACTTCTAGCCTGGGGTCCAGAGATGGAGCAGGACATCTGTGGATTCGATTCAGGGGCTCTATAAAAATCACATCTCTTCTACGCTAACTTCTAACTGAAATTCAATATTTCTTCCATTTTAACATAAGCAACAAACCCCGGCAGTAACAGTTCCTGTGACTATCGTGGATAGAATCCACAGATATTTTCATGTCACAGCTGTTGCAGATACCTCACCGTGTCCTCGTGCTCACACTGTTACAGAATTGTGCTAATATAACCCCGCACTAGTTCTTAGTGATGAAGAGTGAGAAGGAACATAGATTGATATGTGATAGACTATATCAAAAGTTTGCTTTTGAAGGTTTTTCGTATTGGTCTAACCATACTTCGATATATCTGCTTTCCTTTGTAATTCTATGTATGTTATACATTTTAAAGCATTCTGAAATGGGGTCCATTGGCTTCACCAGAAGGGGCCATGCAACGTCAGAACCCTGATGAAGAGAGAGGCTGCCCCATCGTGGGTGGGAGGAGAAAGGGGGCAGGCATGTGGGGTTTCCCATAGCCCCCTTAACCTTTATTAAGCCTTTCCTCGGGCTGAGGCCCTCTGTGGGGAGGGGGAGCCGGAGGTGGGACCTCTGCACAGCATGTGGTCCCCCAGCCTGGCCTCGCCCCTCACTGGGGCCTCCTGCACCTCCTCTCCCCACAGTCCCAGCCATGATCACCTCCCACCCCAACACCACCATCGCCATCAAGGGCCACGCCAAAGAGCTCAACTGCACTGCGCGGGGGGAGCGGCCCATCATCATCCGCTGGGAGAAGGGGGACACGGTCATCGATCCTGACCGCGTCATGCGGTATGCCATCACCACCAAGGACAACGGAGACGAGGTTGTCTCCACACTGAAGGTGAGCACCCACGTCCCAGTCTCAAGGGGACCCCGACTCGCAGAAGGTGGGGAGCCCACAGCTACTACATCTTCAGCCAGTGGAAATAAATGGGGAGTCTGGGAGCCCCTCCCCACACCCCAAAAAGTACCTCCCGTTTCCTAGCTATTTCCCTTCTCCATCCAGGAACCTCTGCCTTAGAACCTCACCATATCTCCTCTCTGACAACCCCAGAGCCGTTAAATGTGTGGAACCCTCAGCTCTTCCCTCTTTTCCAAAACCCCCCGTCTCCATTCTCTCTTCTGGGACCCCTCAGCCCCTCCCTCCTGGAGCCCTCAGCCCATCCCTCCTTCCTGGGACCACTCAGCCCCTCCCTCCCTCCCTTCTGGGACCCCTCAGCCCCTCCCTTCATCTTGGACTCATCAACCCCTCCCTTCCTCCCTCCTGGGACCCTTCAGCCCTTCCCTGCATGGACTCTTCCATGCTTCCATCCTTGGAAGTTTCTAGGAAGAGGAGCTCTTGACAAGGCCCCTGGTGGGTCCCTCTCCCTGAAGAAGATGGCCTGGTTGATCCCCACTAGAGTGGGCTCCCTTCAGCAGACCAGCTCTAAAAGAGTCTCCCCATTTCCTCCCTCTCTCCCCATCCTCCTGCCCCTGCTGGCCACCTCCTAGCTCAAGCCAGCTGACCGTGGGGACTCTGTGTTCTTCAGCTGCCACGCCATCAACTCATATGGGGAGGACCGGGGCTTGATCCAACTCACTGTGCAAGGTACCCTCACCTGCCCCCAACTCCCAACCCCTCCCCGAGGGACCCAGGGACCCGACATTAACTCCACTTAAAGAGCAGGGACATCACCCACACCGTGGTGGAGGACAACAGCAATGGCCTCTGAGGAAGAGTCTGCCCACGCCCTGCCCAGAGCAGGCGAGGAGGGTGCCTCCACGCAGACCTCAGGCAGCGAGGTTGGCAATGGCTGCAGTCCCTAGAGGGCACATTGCTGCTTCCAGAAGTGGGGGCCTGGGTTTGTGGGCCCAGACCCTGGAGGAGGGTGGGAAGGGAAAGGCAAGCTGGGAGAAGTTGAAAGCTCTGCCACTTTCAGGCCACCAGCTCTGAGGAATCCCTCTGGAAGGGCCTGCCCTCTCCCCGGCCGAGAAAGGGAGGGGAACAGAGCAGGAGACCAAGCGGGCCCTTCTCTGCCTCTGAGCCCTGCTGCCAGCCCCGCCCCGTGCCACCCTGTCCAAACCCCGGGGTTCCAGGGCCCTTGGGTAGACCACAGGTGACGCCAACTCCCAGGGGTACAGCAGGACCTGGGTCCTCTCTGGGGTCAGGCAGGAGGCCAAGCTCTCCCCTGCCATCCTCACTTCTACCCCCTCCCCCTGCCACACCCCAGAGCCCCCCGACCCCCCAGAGCTGGAGATCCGGGAGGTGAAGGCCAGGAGCATGAACCTGCGCTGGACTCAGCGGTTCGACGGGAACAGCATCATCACGGGCTTCGACATTGAATACAAGAATAAATCAGGTGGGCTGTGGGCTGGGCCCGCCACGGCCACTTGGGCCACGTGCTCTGCCTGTGCCCCTCTCGTGGAACAGCCCCTGGGCCTCAGGGCTGCCTATCTAAAGCAGACACGCCAGCCCCCACCAGTGCACAAGCCCCGGTGGCTTCCAAAGGGAAGGATACTAGTCAGGCTAGGAACCTGGGGGAAGACAGAGGGACCCCCAGCTGATGGGGAGGGTGTGTCACCCCCTTCTTTCCAGGACTGTTCCTGGACCAAGGTCCACAGGGTGGTCTGATTTAAAGGCCCCAAGCCCAGGGGCTGGGGGCTGTCTGTGGGGTCAGAGATATCATGGGTTTGGCTGGGTCATCTGGCCGCTCCTGGTTTGGGATGTTGAGGATGACTGGGGATCAGAGAGCTGGTCCTTGCCAAGAATGGGTCCTTGGGACATGGAAGTCCCTGGAAAAGCTTAGATCTAAGTTTCCTCCTCCTAGAATTTCTCCCAGAGCCCTCCTCTTGGACCCAAGCTAGCTTCTGTCAGGCTGCCTGTCACTGTGAAGTCCCGTGCGGCAGAGTGAACAATGCACCCCCGGGTCTCTGGGGAAATAGGAGACCCACAGTCAGGTGGCAGGAATGGCAAGGAGGGGGCCTCAGAGGGGACAAGAGGCCTGGAGGCAACCAAGCCAATAAAGAGCTGTAGGAGTTCATGTTTGTATCTGCATGACTGTCTCTGGAAGGTACGTGAGAAACTGGCACCGGAGGGGTGCCTCTGAGATGGCACCTGGGTAGCTCCACCGTGGGAGCGAGAGGAAAACACACTTCTTGTTCTGGATCCCTTTGTACCTTTTGAATTCGATACCATAGGCCTGTATAAGCTTTTCAAAATAATTTTAAAATGAAACATGAAAAAGACTCTGGAGAATTCAACCCTCCCCAACTCCCCTTCCCCACCAACTCTCGTCTCTCAACATCTCATCTCATCTTAGCATAAATCCAAGGTTTGTTGTCCCCCAAAGCCTTCCAGACTCTTCCTGTCTTCCCTAGCACAGCACATGGTCCCTGGCTGGCTGGCTGTCCTTTCCTCTAGGTTGTCTGAGTCTAGTCCCTGCCGTTTCCCAGCATCTGGTACAGTGCCCAGTCACGTGGCAGATGCTCAGCAAATGGTTGTTGAGTGAGTTGAAGTGAGGTACAGGAAAGCAAATCTCTGAGCTTTATATTCACCTCTTGAGAGGCAGCCCTGTCCAGGGCATTGGGTCTGTCATCTTTGATCCTGGTTTCCACAAGGAGGAGTCCTGCCCTCAGAAGCTTACAGTCTAGTTGGAGAGAAAAGTCAGGTTGCAGCCAGCCTCCCAGGAGTTCACCCTCCGTGCAGGAGGAGGGCTGCAGAGAAGGAGGGGCAGCCACCGACAGGGCTGTAAGCATCTCTCTGGTCCCCGCAGATGCTGCGTTAACCTAGGTCTTGAAGATGGAAAGGTAATGAGCCTAGATTCAGGGCAAGGGTGAAGGCAGAGCCCGAGCAAGGCACAGGGCACTCCAGGGAGTGGCCCCTAGCAGAGGGTGCACAGATACAGTTCCTGGGCAATAAGACCTAAAAGTGCTCTGGGGCCAGGTGTGGAGGGAGCTTTCAGGCTGAGCTTTTACTTTGTTAGGGAGGTCCACAGACACTGACAGTGTCTGAGCCACCAGAGAGAGACTTGGGTAACGTGGCACCTTGGAAAGATTCATCTGACATTTGTGGGAAGGAGGGGTACCCAGGAGGTGAGCAAGGAGGCTGCTGCAGCCCTGTAACTGGGGCGAGGTGATGAACATCAGGGCCACTGTGGAGACAACGGGCACAGAGAGGAGAAGCCGAGTGTACCCATCTCACACCTCAGGACTTCCTGAGGCTGGTGCCCGGGAGCCAGACAGGAAGCGACAAGTCCCTATGTATGCAGACCAACATCTCCATATGGCGGTGCACGCTCCATCTCTCTGCCAGGGTGGCAGGGCTCTGCTCACGTCGGGGGTGGGGAGTGGGTGCCTGGGCTGTCACTCACACCCCTCCCCAACTGCCCCTTGCAGCTGCCTCCCCACCCTATTCCCCCTTGCTGCCCCGTTGCCCGCTCCCCCTCCACTGACCACTCTCTGATGTGTGGGAACCTTTCCTGGGGCACAGCTCAGCAGGGCGAGCTGAGAACATCACACATCTGGAGAGCACAGCAGAAGGAGAGGCGGGCAGGGAAGATGCTATTTTCAGAGCACGTCCACATCTTCCCCCAGCCCCCTCCGGCCCCCCTGCAGGATGAGGAACTGACATACCCACCCCAGAGCCAGGGGTGCCAGGAAGGATGGACAGGGTAAGAGGAGGGCGAATGAAAACTCAACCTCAGTCTCCCCCTTCGACAAGGTATTAAAAAAAAACAAATGACAGAATCAAGAGCACGGAGAAGCCGGCTGGTCCTTCCCTCTGCCTTTGACTGGGACTGCTCCAGACCATCCCCCTCAGCCGGGCTTCTGGCATGGCATTTAGGAAAGGAGTTTCCCAAGAACTGCGGTGAGAAATCAGAGTGAGGCCGAGGCTGTGAGCACAGCACAGCTTCCTCGTCCGTATGGTGGGAGCAGCAGTGCCTACCTTGTGGGATCGTCTTCAGGATTTTAGAGCATCTAGCAAGAGGTGGTAGTAAACCTTTAATAAATGTAAGTTCCTCTCCCCGTTCTAACTCAAACACCTCATGTGGCAGTTTATCGTCCTGTGGGACTTGCAGGCTGAAATATATATGTCTGTCAGTCAGCAACATGCACCTGGCGCCAGTAGGTTTTTTTGCAGAATCGTGCACCAGCCATGTGGTAGGGAAAGAAGAAAGAGGAGACGGAGTGTTGCCCTTGGAGCTTACAGTGCAGTTGGAGTGAGAACACACACTAAGTGCACGCGTGCACACACACGCATGTGGGCGTCCTTACACTTTCCGAACTGTTACAAAGCACTATCCAGTCACATGGAATACACCACAAACTGTTACATGAGAACTGGGAAAGGTATCCAAGGGAACCGATGGGTGAGTCAAAGGAAGGAGGAGGGTGTGCGTGTGCGTGTGCATGCACACGCGTGTGTCTTTATGTAGACCTTCTCGTGCATGTGCAAGACTGGGACAAGAACTGTTCTCCAAGCGGAAGACTTGGGTTGGCCCAGTGCCAGAGCTGCGTGATCTGTAGCAAGCTACTTAACATCTTTGTGCATCTCTTTATCCATCAAATGGAGACAATGACACATAATTCTCAGGCTGGATGCAAGGATGGAGTGAGTGTGATGACTTCTGTGGAGGTGCCCAGCACAGAGCCTGGCACATACTAACCCTCCACGGTCTCCCTCCTGTGCCTCTACTCTCCCTTCCCCTCTTCCTCCTGCCCCAGACCGCACCCGGCCTGGGTCTGGACCATCTGCTCCTGACCCCCTTCTTTGCTCCCAATGTGACTTTGCCACGTTTTCTGCCATGTTGCTCATTGTGCTAATTTTCCAGGGGAAATTACCAAGTCTGGCCTTTCTAAGCCATCCCGCTCACGCTGACTTCTCCTGGCCCCAGGCAGCAGAGTAATAATACATGAATGCTGAATGATAAATAGCACCGTCCACACAAATCTATCAGATGGCGCTGTGCAGATTTAAAAATGCAGACACCACATTTCGCCCGTTTCCCAAGCGAGGAACGGGGATGCATTCTTTGCGGATGGCCCTCCAAGCCCAGAAGGCAGCTTCGTGGTGCGAGCTGTCGGCCACCACGGGGCGAGCCAGCCTGGTGTGGCGTGTTGTTCTGTGTGAGCTGGAGTGTGGCTGTGAGAGGGACTGGTGTTGGGATGTTGTGAGGGGTCATTGTGACCCAGGGAACCTCGTCTCGGTGCTGCGGAGAGATGGCCATGGGGGGCTCAGAGCCGTGATGCAAGGAGAAAATCAGAGATGCAGAATGGGTTTGTTTCCCAAGCGCGGGCAGCTAAATGCTCCAGATGTGGCTTTTGTCCAAGCTGTCCCCCCTCTATGGCGAATGTGTCCCTGAAAATCCAAAGGCTCCACGTCCCCTCGCAGCAGGCAGCCCACAGAGTAGAAGGCACTGACATCTCCCTAGCCGCTTCCTTATTTTTTTAAGAAGAATATTTTGCATCATAAACCCTTTGATGAAGAAAGGGAGAGAGAGCCCTTAATGAAATATGTTAATCTGGGTAAGCCAGGCTCATATGAAAGGGAATATTAAAAGAGACAATATTCGCCACAGCCAGCTCAATACTCTGGGAGACCTGAAAGGGAAAGGGAAGAAAATACGGCTCCTGATTTCAGCTATTCAGGGTCAGGGCGATGGCAGTGATGAAGTTTGGAAAACCAGCTAGAGACCTCCAGATTGGACTCTGATGCATTAGCCCAGAAGGGTTGTGGAGAGAGAGCTGTTTTGTGCCAACATCAAAGATGATTTGGGAACGTAAGGTCAAATCCACCTGCAAACGACGGGCAAAAGCAGAAAAAAAGAGGCTAGTCTCTGGGACATCCCCCCAACCTTCCTGTGATTGGCAGCTGAGTAAGGCAAGGAAAGGAAAGGCAAAGGGTATTTATTGTGACTACAAAATGCAGAGGAACTCCAAGCCCAAAGTGAAGGACAAAGAAGTGACTATGGTCTAAAGCCAAAAGTGGGTTTTAAGTGCCCAACACATGCCAATCAGGGAGACGGACAAAGCTTTAGACATGGCTTCTGTCTTCAGGGAACTTAGCATCTCCTTGGGCAATTGCCACTGAAACATGAGCCCTCAAAGGAAGATCCCATACGAGGAAGAGGGCTCTAATGCTGCAGGAGCGCAGAGGAGAAGAGTGGTGAAAGGTGGGCTGGAAAGGGTGGCACAGGCCAGATGCTGCCCGGCCTGGGTCTTGTTAAGAGAGTTTGTCATTACCCCAAGAGCAAGAAAAAAGTATTGAAGAGTTTTAGGCAAGAGGATGACAGTATCAGATCTGTGTTATGGGAAGACCACTCTCAATGCTAAGATAGAGTGCTTGGCCTGTAAAGAGGTGCTCAATCATATTTGTAGAGTGAGTGATGGTGGCAGTGTGGAGAACAGATGGAAGGGGGCACACAGTGGGTCCTAGGAGGCTACCTAGTTAGGATGTTATTTCCCCTGGTCCAAGTGAGAGATGACAGTGGCTTGGCCTGGGGCACGGATGGAGAGGGAGAGAAGTGGAGAGATTCAAGAAATGCATAGGACACAAAAGCTATAGCACTTGATAGGCAGGGAGAGAGAGAGAGAGAAGAGTCAAGAAAACACCTAAGTTTCTGGCACAACATGGTGGATGGTGGTGCCATTTCCTGAGACAGGGACTCTAGGAAGGCAATGAGTTTACAGGGTATGTGCGCAAGACTTCTGTCTTGGACATGTTGAGAGTGAGGTGCCTTTGAAACATCCAAGAGGAGATGTCAAGTAACCAGTTGGCTATAAGGGTCTGGAGTTCAAAGAAGAGGTCTAGGCTGGATACAAATCTGTGAGTTATCTGTATAGGCAGGACTAGAAGCCATGGGTGGGAGAAGTGTATGGGGGAGAGGAGCGCCTAGGGTGGAGCCTTGAAGAACTCTAGCCATTAATGGTAGGCTAGGAAGGTGCACCTGCAAAGCAGACAGGAAAGAAATGGCCCGAAAGATAAAAGAAAAGCCAGAGAGTGTCTCACCAGGGAAACCAAGGGAAGAGTGGTTCAGGAAGAAGGGAGGGGTCCAAGTTGCACACACCTGACAGGCCCAGTGAAAAATTAGGATTGGTGACCTTAGGGTCACCTATCCTGTGGAAATGTGCTGATGTCATAGGAGGGTGTGAGGAGTAAATGGTGAACAGTCCATCCCCACACCTGGTGCATCTCAGGTGCTTGGCATAAATATTAGCGCCTCTTTTCCTTATCCCCTCTGTGTTCAGATGCATCATGTGGGTCCCCTCCCTCGGCCTGCGCTCATCAAAAATGAATGTACTGACTCATGGTCACTGTCCCTCTCCTGTAAACACAGGCAAATCAAGGGTGACGTGTGAGCTGGCACCAGCTCCCAGGATGCCACAGAGAGAAGCGAACACCTGCCTGCGTGTCGGTAGCCCATTCGCTCCCAAACCAAAGAGGTGCCCGCCGCAGGCAGGAACCCTCGCATTTGCAGTTCTGGCTTAACCTGCCTGCCACCGAGTGACTCTCCGGGTGGTTGGGGTATTTTAAAAGACAAGGAGAAAATGATGTGTTTCTGAGCATCCACAGCCTGCCATTTGGGCTTTGGCTCATGAAACCAAAGAATTAAATGCAAAACCGCAGATGGGGCGCTGGGCCAGTGCCCTTCACAGATGCTGAGCCTGCGCGGCTCAAAGTGGTGTTTTGAAAGACATCAAGATCTCAGTTAACCAGAATCTGGGGGAGCGGGATCGTCTCTTCTGGTGAACCGATTCTCCTGATTTATCAGGCATTAGCTTAAAAAGGAAAAACAACCAGTCTTCCTAAGAAATCTTTCTAGAATGTGCTAGCCTCCTTTCCTGATTCAGGGATTAAACTATAGTGAGTACAATTTAATCTTTTCTACTGAGAATTTTCAGGGTCCTCTACTGTGGATTTAAAAGGCATGGAAAATTAGACTGAATAGTGACATCGGGACATGCCCTGGGAAGATTTTTAAGCCCTAGTATCAGCTCATTTCCTTGTGCTTTGCCGTTTTTTCTTTTCAAAGTGAAGTGCTGATAAACTAATCTGGTTTTGAATTCTGGGTTTGGAAGGTCCTAGCTGAGGCATTGCTGTAATTGCAGACCCCTCCCATCTTTCTCTGGAATCCCCCAGTAGGTGCACAGCAAAAACATGTTGAATCAATGACTAGATTCCTCTGGAGATGCAGGATGTTTACAGTCACAGTATCCTGAGCGGCATTTCTCTCGTATTTTTCACATTCTACAGTTTTGCTAAACGTTAGCCCTGGAATGGGCTGCCAGCACCCCCATATACATCGGGAGCATGCTAATGCCTTTGTTGGCTCTTGATCCTAAAGACTCTGAGACCATTCTCTTGCTGGTGAGAGAAAGAGGGTGGGGCCTGGGCTGGGGACTCTGGCACTTGGTCTGTCCCCCTGACAGACCAAGTAATGCTCAAGACCACAACTGCACAAGTGCACAGGAAAGGAAATACAGAAGCACACACAGAGAGAAGGAGAACGGGGGAGAAGACTTGGCTTCCCCCTTTGCACTAGGACCATTGGGTGGATGGGGTAGCTCACGATTACAGCAGCTCACTGATGTGGTGTGAGAGACCAGGATGAAGGGCACTGGCCAGTCAGACCCTCAGGGACAGCCAGCAAATGGTGGTCTTGGAAGGGACCTTGGGAAACATCTCGTTCAACCCCCATCTGAGGTTTGAGCTCACAAGCTGGCCCAAGACAGAGGAGAATCAGGCTTCTGACTCTCCAGCCAGTGCATTTGCTGCTCACATCCTCAGGCATGGTCTCTTTGGTTTCCTTGAGCTTCATGAAACAGGCCCCTTGCACTCTCTGTGAAGTTGTTAAGGCCTGTGGCCTCTCAATGCAGTCAATGTGAGCTGGACCCGTCTGAGCATCAAAGTTGAGATTGGGATGTGCTGATGCTTGAGGCTGGGGAGTGGTCTGGAGTTCACCTGGCTATGGTTTGAAATGGGTGTCCTCTCTCCAGATTCCTGGGACTTCAAGCAGTCCACACGCAACATCTCCCCCACCATCAACCAGGCCAACATCGTGGACTTGCACCCAGCATCTGTGTACAGCATTCGCATGTACTCCTTCAACAAGATTGGCCGCAGCGAGCCGAGCAAGGAGCTCACCATCAGCACAGAGGAGGCAGGTGAGCACCTCGCCCTACCACCCCTGCCCATGGCCTCTGGGATCAGGGACATCTGGGCCACACCCACCCTGCCCACTGGCAGGGGGCTTGCAGTTAGAAAAGGGGAGGAGATATCTCAAGGTTTTTGTTTGTGTCTGCCTCTGGATCATTCCAGGCTCTTCTAGCTGACCTTTTCCAGATGGGGTTCTAAATGCTGGTCTCTTGGGAGCTGTCCGTGGTTCTGCCCCACTCCCCTGGGCCCAGCCTGTCTGGAAAGGACAGACGTGCTGGATCTGCAAAGGATGGGCTAATAGTACCCTGGATTATTTCCTGCAACTTTTATCATGGAGTTTTCCTGAAAGTTTAAACAAGATTTCTCTTGCTGTGTTTTCTCTTGTTATTGTAAAATATAAAATAATGCAAAAAAGTACGTATAACATATATGTACCATTATATGAATAATAGTAAAGTAAAACCTAGTATAGCCAATACTCATTATCAATTGGTAACATGCCACAGATTCTCCCGATGCCCCTTCACAACTATAACCCCATCCCTCTCCCTGAAGTAACCAGTATCTCAACTTTCTTGCTTTTCTGTTTTTATCCTGTTACCACAAGATACACATAAACCATATCATTTAGTTTTGCCTATTTTTCAATAGAATGATTCATGAAATCATAGTTCATATGTTCTTTTGTGTCTTCCTTATTTTGATCAATATTATTTTTGTGAGCTTCATGCTGTTAGTACAGCTGTTGTCATTTGTGCGTCTTCAGTGCTGTATAGTATTCCATTTTGTGATTATACCACAGCCTGTCCATTCTACTATATGGAAATTGGTTGTTTAGAGTTTGGAGCTGTGAACATTCTTGTACTTGTGTGCTATACACAGGGTCCTGAGTTTCTCTAGGGGATATAAACAGTTGTTGAATTACAGAGTCATCAGACGGACATACTTCTAGAAAAGTAGAAGTATACTTCACACAAAAAAAATGCCAAAATGTTTTCCAAAGTGTTGTACCAATTTTCTCTCCCATGATCAGTGTATAAGACTTCCTGCCACTATATACCCTTGCCTACACTTCATACTATCAAACTTTTTAAAAAATTTTGCCAGCCTGCTGGATGTGGAGTAGTATCTCATTGTCATTGTTTGCTATATTTTCAGCAAATTATGGAGAATGAAGAGGAAATTTAGCCACTGTGATCATTTCAAGGGGACTCAAACAAAGGGCCTCTGCTTTTGTATATGAGCTTTTCCTTTCTCCCCGTCAGTCCTCCAGCTCAGGGGGATGGGAGTGAGAACACGGGACTCTTTTCTTCCCAGACTCTATTCGTGATGTTGTTTCTCACCTCCCTCCCCCACCAGCTCCTGATGGGCCCCCCATGGATGTCACTTTGCAGCCGGTGACCTCACAGAGCATCCAAGTGACTTGGAAGGTAAGTGAGGTCAAAGGCATTTCCCCTGAGGTGCCTCCTTGCCTCCTCCCTCCTCGACCCAGGAATGAAGCCCCAGCAGGCTTGCTGGTCTCTGGTCTCCTGTAATGCCTATGCCTGTTTTTTTGGGTAAACCCAGTGCAGGTGGAGGGAAGGAAAGAGAGGAGGATAGTGGGGCAGGTCCTGCCACCAATCCCCACTCTCCTCCTCTCCCTGGCTCTCTGATGGAGACCTGTGTGTGGGGTGAGATGAAGACCTTGGCAATGCCAACAAGAGAAGATGGTTTTTCCACCACACTGGCCTGTCCTCCAAACCCCACATGTTGTAGTAGGTTGGAAGTTGAATTTGACTTTGCACAAAGTTCAAGGGGGCCCTGTGGATGATGGGAGATTACAGGACAAGGTCTCACCCTCATCTTGGCCCTGTGACTGGACCTGGGAGGGACGGCAATGCCATCCTCTGTCTTCTCTAGGTGAGGCCTTGGACAGGAGCCTTGGTCTTTTCAGGTCTCAGTTTCTTCTCTATAAAATCAGGATGACAATAACTGCCCTCTCTTCCTCTGGGGGTGGCGGACCTGTAGAGAAAACAGACCAGTATATGCTGCAGCCATTTCTAAGGGACAGAGACCTGTAAATTCTAGTGGGTGTCTAAGAATCTGTCACTTAAGGAAACTCTTAGAGGAGATTCCATAGCTGGGCAGGGAAACAGAGCAGAATAACCTTGAGCAGGACCAAGAGACCCTTTCCTGGGTAACTGGCCTCATCGCCGCATCCCTGCCATGGGCGCGGAAGGGCTGACAATGCTGATGGCTCCCTGTTGCTCTGCATTGTCCAGTCTCCCGGTATCTTCCTAGACTAACTTATCTGACCCTCTGTTCCTTTGAGCGTGCCAGAAGATGTATTTGTATCCTCATCCATCAGAGGAGGCCATGGTATAGAGATGCAGGGTGACTTGCCCACGGCCATTCAAGTAGTGACAGGAGCAGGACTTAAACATACAAAGTCTGGAGCCCCAGCCCAGTGTCCCCACCACAGCCCACTGCATGGAGGTCAGGAACAGAGAGCTTTCTTAGGGCCTGTCCATGTTCTGCTTCTTGGAGCTTTCTCGTCTCAACCGAGCAGCTTGCCGAGTTGCCTCCTGGATCGGACGTCCAAGCTCATTTTCTGACTGTGACTCCTGATGGGAAAAGCCCAGGTACTTTAGTCCTCCTTCTGGGCCCTGCAACAAGATACATTTAAGCATGGGAGAGACTCACAAGGGCCTAGTGATATTTTCCCTGAAAAGATTGTACTCTTATGCACGCATGCACACACACGCACAGAGATAGACGGCAGAGCCTTCTTCCTTCCCTCCCTAGAGAAATGACCAGGATGAAAGCAGGACTGGGGCCGGGCAACTGGTCGTTCCTGGGGACCAGCCCACCTACAGATGCCTAGAACCACAATTCCCCTCCAGATTCAGATCGGGGCTCCAGGGCTTTCCTCAGAAACTGGGGATGAACCCAGGAGTCCAATCTCTAATTCTTGTCTGCATCTTGGCTCTGGACCCATTTCCGAGGAATACTCTGAGGAAGCCAGGAGGTGCGGGTGGGGAACAAATAATTGTGTAAAACACGGAGATGTTTGGCTACAAAGCTCCGACCTGGAGGTCGATAAAAATTTAGAATCAGATTTATTTCTCCAAAGTCTCATAATGAAAAATAAAATTGATTAGAAAGTTAGAACTTCAGAATGACCCAGCCCATCAATAAATTTGGGGCTGACTTCTCAGGGGATTTTTTTTTTTAACACCAAGAAACAGATTAATGAAAAATAAAGATTCACTCGAAAGACAAGTCACTTCATTTTAAGACTCTTTCCGCGAGATGGATCGCCACTGCTTTATGACATAAATTTGCAATCAGCCCTATTGATTTCTTAATGCTTCAGAGAAATATTGTTAAGATTGATTTAAATCCTGAGTGTGCCTGATGGGGGGTGGGGCGTAAGGGAGAGGGGGAGAGAGACAGAAGAGGAAAGAAAGAGAGAGAGAAGGGAGGGAAGATTTGTATAAATATGTGAATGCATTTATGTGTGTGTAGGGCATTCCTGGATGTCTATCCAAGGCGTCTACCAGTACGTGCTGTTATGAAGGCAGGTTGTGTGGTGCTGTGTACAAGTGTACATCATGGTATGGGGGCTCTGGGTATGCAGGCGTGTGTCGTTGTGCATATCAGAACGTGTGTCAATATGGAAGTATATATGTAATATGAGCGTATATGTCAGTGTGAAGACAAGGGTATCTTGAAGATGTGTTTGTTTCTATCATAGATGTCTGTCTGTGTGTGCGAGTGTGCGTAGACAGATGTGTGCAGATACGAGACCCAAATTCAGAAATTCGCCTGCTTACAAACTTAGCAAACAGGACTGCCCAACTGCAGAGAGAAACATTATTCAGGCATTAACAGAAAGTCAGGTCGATTAAATACACACACACACCTATTTAGTGAGTTCAAAACAATTATGTTAAATTAAAAACTTCATTTTATTGAGTTAACAGTGAGCTAAAAATGCAGTTCATTTAAAACACTCATTGAATTACAAAAAAAAAACAGTGGGGCCGTTTTACTAACTTAATTGTTTTTGATCTCGCTATTTTTTAGTACAATAAAAGGTGGGCTTTTAAATTAACTTCATTGTCTTTAAAACCCTGATTCAAGCTGTTTTTATATGCTCTGGGGTAGGGCTCTCTCTCACTTTATGGATGGGCTGGCCCGCTCGTTAAAGGCGCCAGTTTCTATTTGTGGGTCTAAATATATCTGGCCGGGGTTGGTGTGTGCATGAGGATGTTGGCTTTGATGGGACTGGATGTTTGTGTTCCTGGTTCTGGATGTGAGGAGATGTACCAGGAACACGGGGAGAGTGGGGTCTGGTTTTGTGTCAGGGTTCAAGCTTGGGGTGAGAGTACCTGAGACTGACGCCAGTGGAGTTTCTCCAGTCGCCTGGCTGACTGGGATCGGCCCTTCCTTTCCGCCAGCCTAATCAGAGCCCTGAAATGCCCCCTTCTCACTGCACGTCCTTGCCCGTCTCTGTCCCTCCACCACGGAGCCGGCGTCAGGCTTCAGCCCTCAACACACCCCAGCCCTTGGCCAGGACGTCCGGGCCAGTCTGGCCACATGTTCCAAGAGGGGCGGGCCCTTACGAAAGTCAGGACTCTTTTTTAACTTGTAGTAAAATATATGTACCTTTTTATGGACATAAAATTTACCATTTTAGCTGTGTTTGTGTGTCCAGTTCACAGGTGTTAAGTCCATTCACAATGTTGTGCAACCATCACCACTATCCTCTCCAGAACTTTCATCCCAAACAGGAACTCTGTACCCGTTAACCAATAAGCCCCCCACACCCATCCCCAGCCCCCCGTAACCTCTATTCTACTTTGTCTCTATGAATTTGCCTATTCTAGGTAGCTCATAGAAGTTGTATCATTGTTTTGTGTCTGGATTCTTTCACTTAGCATAACATCTTCAGGGTTCATCTATGTTGTACATGTGTCAGAATTTCATTCGTTTTTAAAGCTGAGTATTATTCCATTGCATGTATAGACCACATTTTGTTTGTCCACTCATCTGTCCACAAACACTTGGGTTGTTTCCACCTTTGGCTGTTGTGAATAATGCTGCTATGAACACGAGTGTGCAAAGATCTGTTTGAACCTTTTTCAATTCTTTTGGGTATATACCAAGGAGTGGAATTGCTGGATCAAAAGGTACTTCTATGTTTAACTTTTTGAGCAACTGCCAAACTGTTTTCCACATTGGCTGCACCATTGTACGTTCCCACCAGCAATGTACAAGGGCTCCAATTCCTCCATATCCTCGCCAACACTTGCTATTTTCCATTTTTTGATAATAGCCATCCTAGCGGGTGTGAAGTGGTATCTTGAGACTCTGTCTTTTTATTCAAATTAATTCTTCACCTCCTCCCCCCATCTAGTTACTTTTTGTCTGCTGTTCCATTTCTTCCAGGCCCCTGAGCCCATGCCAAATGACATCCCTATTCATTCATTCATTCATTTATTCAATAAATATGTATTGAGGGCCTACTACATGCCAGGCACCATCTGGACACTGAGAGTATAGCTATAAACAAAACAGACAGCACTCCTTGTCCTCGTGGCCTTTACATTCTAATGGGCACAGATAGACACATAAGTAAAATGTATAGAGTGTCAGATGATGCTAGTGCTGTGGAGAAAAATTAAGCCAGGAAGCAATATAAGGAGGACAGGACAGAGGGCAGGCAGCAGTCTTACATAAAGAGCTTAAGGAAGGCCCCATTAAAAAGGGGGCATTTCAGCAAAGACACTGCAGAGGTGAGGAGGCAAGCCGTGCAGATATCCAAGGAAAGAGGGCTCCCCCTGAGACAGGAACGTGCCTGCTGTGAACAGCACAGAGGCCAGTGGGCTGGAGCATGGGAAGCACGGGGAGAGGAGATGGGTCCAGGAGGGAGTGGGGGCCAGCTCACGTAGAGTGGGTAGCTATAGCCATTGTAAGGGTTTGCCTTTCACTCTGAGTGAGATGGGAGCCTTCGAAGCGCTGGGAGCAGAGGAGTGAGATGATCTGACTTTGGTTTTAAGAGCATCATCTCAGAGTGTCCCGTGTCTTCGTCTCCCCACCCCACCGCCACCCCATACCCACAGGCGCCCAAGAAGGAACTGCAGAACGGCGTCATCCGGGGCTACCAGATCGGCTACAGAGAGAACAGCCCTGGCAGCAATGGGCAGTACAGCATCGTGGAGATGAAGGCCACCGGGGACAGCGAGGTCTACACCCTGGACAACCTCAAGAAGTTCGCCCAATATGGGGTGGTGGTCCAAGCCTTCAATAGGGCTGGCACGGGGCCCTCGTCCAGTGAGATCAACGCCACCACCCTGGAGGATGGTGAGGGCACCAGCAGAGGGTAGGAGGTGTAGATCCTGGGCATGGGCACAGCCAGGTCTGCCAAGGATGGCTTGGGGCCCTTCCACTGCTCCTGGGCCCCATCATGGTCCTGTAGTCTGCAATGGCTGCCTGGATCCCTCCTTCTCTTCTTGCCCGTTGGCTCCTCGAGGGATGTTTGGTCCATTCAGCACCACGGCCCTCTCCATCCATTGGCTGGCTGTCTAGCCACCGGTTGCCGCTGCTCTGCCCGTCAGTCTGTCTGTTGATCTATGGGCCTGTCTGAGCGCCTGTCTGTCACCCATCTGACTCTCTGTCCATGCTTCTCCCTCTCCTTGTTTCTCCTCCCTCGATCTGGCCCCTCACCCATCTCTCTCCACAAGCTCTTTCCTCTAGAGCCTGGGTCCTGTTTCTCCTCCCCTATAGCCTCCGGGTTGGAAGAAGGGCAGAAACTAAGTTACCTTTGTACTTCTGGGCTGGAACCTGTCCACGGTCTGTTTTAGGCACCAGAGATAAGACTGTGGAGTTAGGAAATCCCAAGATCCATGTGGCAGAGGATTTAAAGGCTGGTTTTTAAAACTTAATTCTTTGAGGGCTAGAGAGGACTCCCTACTCTGATGAGCAAGAGGCCCGGTTTCTCAGGGGAGAGGTTAGGAGGAGCAGGAGCGGGCCTGCTCTCCAGGCACAGAGAAGACCAGCTGGTGCCTGAGCCTGTGCCAGGAAGGGAGAGGAGGCATGGCCCTTGATGCCCCCCGAGATGGGGCCGGGCGGCCACAGTCCCCCAACGAGCAGAATAAAGAAGAAACAGAGCACTCTCACACTTCCTTCTTGATGCCCCAGCCTAAAACCATGGTCAGAGATTAAAACCTGGCACTGAGTCTGAACCTACCCCCAGCAGAGGGAGGGGACTGAGTCCTGGGAGCATAATGACATCTCCCCATGGCCCATCAGAGTACCCAGCATTCCACCATTAGAGAGTCATTCCTTTAGGTTAAACAGTGCCCTCTCCGTATCTCCTTCTTTCTGAAAAGGCAGACACTCTTGGGAGGGAGGACGCATCAGGGCCGAAACACCTGAGAGTAGATTAGCTCATACCAAGGGTTCTTAACTTTGGCTACAAATTGGTGTTATCTGGGGAGCTTTAAAAATCCTGATGCCCAGGCTCTGTCCCCATAGATTCCCATTTAATTGCTCTGGGGCACAAGCTGGGCTTTGAGAAGGAACAGACTTCAGTAGGCCCAGGCACTGGGCCCCTGGGAAAAAGTGAGAATGCAAAAAGAGGGAAGGGCATGTAGCAAGTAGTGAGCTGCATAGAAGCCCAAGAGGACATCCCCCCATCCCACCCCCTGCCCATCCCCCACTCGCCCCCTCCCCTCCATGATGCTGGCCAAAGGCCTGGCTAGGTTGAGGAAGATCAGCCTGTCAACTCTTCAAACCAGGAGCACTAATACCCAGCGGTGCTCTGACACAGTGGTTCTCAAACCTGAGCGTACACCAGCATCTCCTGGAAAGCTGTAACAGATTGCCGGGCCGGCCCCCAGAGTGTCTGCTTCAGCAGGTCTGGGGAGGAGGCCAAGAATTTGCATTTCTAATAAATTCCCAGGTGATGCTGATGCTGATGTTGCTGATGCAGGGAGCACCTGTGAGAACCACAGCAGTAAGAGCTAGGTCATTACCCATAAAAGGAGCCAAGACGCACGGAGGTTAAGTAGCCTGTCCAGAATCACCTATCTAGTAAAGACCAGAGCCCAGATCAAAATCCAGGTCTGACCCTGAATCCCACGCTCTTTCTTCTTCACCCTATTGTTACCCTCTTTCTTGAGAGCAAGGCTGGATGCAGGACCAAGTGACGTGGATTCAGGATGTTCAGGAAAGGCACATCCAGGGGGAACAGCTGTCCCGAGCCCACACCAGCATGCCCGACTGAACACTCAGCTCTCATCCACCTAGGGCCAAGCCAGGAAGCAGCCAGGCCAGGCACACCTTTGGCCTCCATCAGGGCACCGCCTCCCTTATTTTGGGCTTGGGGGAGCCTATAATTTCCAACAGGGAGAGATCAGCATGGGCCGTGGAGTCATTTTCAAAACAAAGGAGGAGAGGGGGTAGAAAGTTTCCAGCAGCATTTGCTCAGCAGTTTTTCATACTTAATTAAGGCCCTCGTTAGCCTGTCAGATCCTGATCGTTTCCTGGCAATATTAGCGCTCCTCCTGGGGTATTCAAGGGCCCCTGCTTTAGCAATAGTGTCTTTTCCATAATTATATTACCTTCATTTTATTCGAACGGGCGATCTGTATTAGTTTATTATACTGGGTCCCTAATTACATGGTGCTTATATTTTTACACCTAAGTAATATGAAACAATAATCATTCTCAAAGAGGATCGTTAGGATGATGTATTATCATTTAAATGCTCATAAAAATTAGAGTTGCCTCTTGTGGGGCAATGGGATCTAATTACCTTCCATCCAGCCCGGGCCTCCTTTCTCCCACTCAGAGCAAAGCGGAGACATGCAGACTTTCCCCTTGCCCCCGGCTCCTCGGGACCCAGCAGGAAGTGCCACCAAAGTTCTCCCTAGCCAAAGTGGCTCCTGGGCCCGGTGTCCCACTGTCAGTCATCTCAGAAAGGGTGTCTGCCCCAGGGCCAACCCCAGAGAGTGGGACTTAGGTTAAGCTCAAAGGTGGCTCTGGATGGAGAGGGTTGAAGGTGGGGTGGACCACCTAAGTCGGCTTAATGCCCATCATCCGAGGCATTTTGGTATGTTCGTGTGCAGGGACAATGGTGTAATGGTCCCCGAAGCCCTAAAGGTGTCTGTGGAACCTCCTCCCCTTCCCCAGGGTTAGTTGGGTTCCTCTTCTTCTCCTTCTCTTCAGCTTGGCACAAGGACACAAGGGTCCCTAGGGCCAGCCCTTGGCTCAGACTCCCTGGTCAGGTGACAGAAGGGCTGGCAGCCATCAGATGAGATCACCAATTGCAGATACCTCTAGGGCCAGCTTGGAAGCTTCCAGTTTCTGTTAATTCAGGAGTGGTAGACCCTGGGCTGTGGTGCCCACCGTTGAACACCCAAGGGCACATGCCCAGATTCATCACCTTCTTCCCCCAGCATTTACCCAGAACCAGGCATGCGCCTCCCAGAGAGCAAGGGACCAAGTCCATAAAGGTCTCTATTTACCCAAATCTCCAGGAAAGGAGACCTGCCTCACTTCCCAGCCACCCAGCCTAAACTCTCGCGACTGTGTCAGGAGTCTTTCCACTTGTCTAACCAAAAGGTCCTCTGGCTGGGCAGCAGGGCGTGGCCTGGGACACATATGTTTTGTTTACCTCCCTGACTGGGCTCTTCCGTTCTCCCCTCACCCCATGCAGTGCCCAGCCAACCCCCTGAGAATGTCCGGGCCCTGTCCATCACTTCTGATGTGGCTGTCATCTCCTGGTCGGAGCCCCCACGCAGCACCCTCAATGGCGTCCTCAAAGGCTATCGGGTCATCTTCTGGTCACTCTACGTTGATGGAGGTGAGTCCTCTGGGAGTGATGGCCAGGTCTCAGGGTGAGAGGGTTGGCGGGGTTCTACGTCCACACGCAGTTGGAGCTGAGCATCTTCCCATGGGATGTCAAGTGGAAGCACAGCCCCGCCTTCTGTACATATTATCCTGGACCAGAGCCAGGGGCCAGGGTGGGCATTTGCTTTTCTCATGTAATGTGTTGATATGAGGCTTTTATAGCCATGCAAGTCGGGATCCCAGCAGGGAACCAGTTGGCACACTCAAATGGGGCAATAGAAGAGAGAGTTTAATGAAGGTACTGCTTTCAGAGGGGTGGGGAGGGAGGGAGGGACACCTGGAGCTAGCACCAGCAGGAAGCCATCATCACCAGGCCTGAAGGGGCAAGAGGAGGAAGCAGGGTCACCAGAGCCTGGAGAGAGCTCCCCTTGGCCAGGAAGCAAGGCATGCCGTCTGCACAGATGACCTGCCCGGGACCTGGACACGGGTGGAGAGGGGCACACCGTGGAGCTGGGGTAGGAAGGCAGGGAGGGAAAACCAAGAGAGTGGCCCAACTGTTTGGGTGCCCTCCCTCCCCTGAGAGGCACTGGTCCAAACTGGCTTGTGTAGCCCCACAAACACACCAAGCCCTCACCCACTGGTGTACACAGAGACTTTGCAGTGCCCAGGGAGTCTGCAGTCGAGAAAGCCAGAAGCCAGCATCCCAAATGATGGAAACGTTCTGTGGCGGACCACAAAGGGCTCCTATGAATTTGTGTCCCCAGACCCTGAGCCTTCCGCCACCAGCCCCCTGGCCCCTCCCTTCTTTCCTGGAAGACCTCCAGCTCCCCGTCATCTCTCCAGGGCAGCTGCCCTCCCCTCCCCGACCTGGATTCTGCCCTGCCCAGACACACTGCCCACAGGCAGCGTCTTTCCCTGCCACCACTTCCACTGCCTCCTCCAAAAGCATGGAGGCCTGGGGCTCAGGGCTGACCTCTGACGGTCTCCCAAGTTCTTGTGCTGTGAGATGGCCTCACATATTTGTGCTGACGCAGGTAAGGGGTGGTCCCTTGTTTTCTAGAACCTGCTTCCTCTTTTCTAAGCCTGGGGGCTTCCCCAGCTCAGTTCTTCAGATGAGAAAGGAATTGGCCTCTCTACTCTCCAAAGGCCACCTGGATTATTGGCCACACTGCCCCCTTACTGTCTCTTTCTCTGGCTCCAGTTCTGGATGGGTCCACCCTGGTTTCTGACCTCCTGGGAAAGGAAGGTCCCGCGGCTCAGGCCTCTGTGGTTCCCCCCGTGCTGACCCAGAGTCCCCTCAAGGTGGGCAGGGTGGTCTCACCCTCTGGACCCTGGCAGACTGCTGCACGCCCCTGGCCAGGCCCCCTGCCTTGGGCCCTTAGCCTGCACCGGGCCCCCGGCGAGGTGCTGGGGTGGGTTTGCAGGCACTTGTCTTCTACAAGGCCTGTCCTTAGCCACTGTCGAGGCCTGTCTTTCTGAAATCCCAGTAGTCCAGTGGGAGGGCTGTCAGCTCAGAGCCTGTCTCTTTTCCTTCTTCTAAGACCCTGGCCCTCCCGTGGGACCCTCTCCCTAAGCTCTTCTTCAGAGTCTTCAGTAAGTTCCTTGGCACAGCCAGGATGATGGGTCTTCACTGAGCCAGAGGAAGGCCTGGCTCTTCCTGGCTGTGGCTGTCAGCTCCACCAGCCTCACCCAGGTTCCCTGTGCAGGCTCTTTGTTGGGAGGGTGTCATCAATGGTGGGGAGAAGGCCATGGGGACTTAGCCCCTCCCACGACTGGGAGTTCAGCGTGCTGGCCCGGGAGCAGTCAGAGGCAGGGGAGGCAGCCTCGGCCTCAGACTGTCACAAGTCATCCCAGGATGACACACTGCCTGGGGAGATCTGAGAGCCCAGGAGGCGCTGGGGCAGCCAGGAGGAATAGCTGCTGACCGTCCTGCCTGGCTAGGCCCCCTCTGGGTCCAGGCACTCCTGGGGCCCCTCACATGGAGAGGGGGTTGAGTGGAGGAGGGGGAAATGTTGCTTGGAGAGATGGAAGTATTCTAAATGGAGAATATTAAGATGAGTTTGGTGCAAGGTTGGCTGGAGGCTGAGGCCAGGCCGGCATGTACCTCTCATCCTAGTTGGGTCACTCGGGGAGAGATGTGGCCTGAGAGCAGTGCCCTAAATCTGCCTCCACGTACCTTGAGGTGGATGGTCCTCCTGGGTGCCACCACCATGGAGTCGAGGTCTGAGCCCAGTGGAGCAAGTCCTGACAGGAGCCCAGGTTGGCGGAGGGGCAGTGGCAGGGGGACGGTGTGTGGCCAGCCTGAGCCGCACTCAGAGGTTGCCTGTCTGTGGCAGAGTGGGGCGAGATGCAGAACATCACCACCACACGCGAGCGGGTGGAGCTGCGAGGCATGGAGAAGTTCACCAACTACAGCGTGCAGGTGCTAGCCTACACACAAGCCGGAGACGGCGTGCGCAGCAGCGTGCTCTACATCCAGACCAAGGAGGATGGTGAGTCTCCTCTGGCCCAGCCTGGCCTCGGCCCAGGGGGGCAGCCTCCCCCAGGGCAGGTGCTGAGCCCTGCCCTCGAGCCGCCCCACTGCTCACCCCCACCTGAGGAGAAGGTGAGAGCAGAGCACCATCCTTTCTCCTGTCCCTTTGATTAGTAGTAGGTAGAACTCTGGAACCCTGCCCTGGGAGAACACAGCTTACCGTAGATGGTGGCAAAATGCCTGGACTCATGCATAAACATAAGCAACCATAACCCCCTCCCCCTGCAGCACTGGGTCAGAGACCACATCAAGCCTCTCCTCCCACCCCCACCCAAGGGCATCCTTTTCGTGGCATCTGCTCCCTGCGAGGTTCAGCCTGGTTTCTTCTGGATACAGATGGTTGGGATTGGAGGAGGACAGAAGCCTCCCCACACATATTGCAGGGTAAGGACTTGGCAGTCACCCTGCAGAGGCCCCAGAAGGGGCCAGCCGCTGGCCTCTGGTGTGCTGGGGGTGCTCTCAGGGAGCGAATGGGATATGCCTCCATTTGGAGCTATGATCTCAAAGCCCTTCTCAATGGGGCCAAAACTGGAGGAAAACCAGAAATAAGGAGCCAGACCTCAAGGGTAGAGTGATGAAGAAAGAGGGTGGGGGAGGCTGAGAGCTGAGTCAACCCAGGAGAGAGCAGGTCGGGAGAAGGGCCACATTTCCAACCGGGGCCCAGAGTTGCACACCTTCAGGGGGCCTCAGTCACATGGAGCACCATGTCCAGGAGGTGCCATGTATGACCCAGCACAGCTCTGGGCTCCTGCCCCCAGCCTTTCCACTTTCTTCCTCACACCACCACCCCGCCCCCCATCACTTAGTTGATTCTAAACGTTCTGAGCCAGGTGCTGTATTACTAGAAGAGTCAGTTTATGTGAAGAATGGCTGGCACACAATAAACGGTAGCCATGACGCTTAATAAAGCATCGCCATCCTTGGCATTATGGCTTTCTTCCCACTCGGCCTCAGCTTTTTCAAAGGATGCAGAGACCCACACTCTAGGTCCTACCCATACAATTTGGCCGAAGGTGCTGGAAGGGTTAGAGGAGCTGAAAAGGAGCCACTCAGGCTGGGAGTGATGGTGGAGAAGTTCTGAGTGCAGCCCAGTGCTCGGCGACCAGACCAGCTCCCAGCTCACTGCACCCCACTCTCCCTAAGCCCCTCCCCTTGCCTCAGATCAGCCCCCTCCCCCACTGAAGCTCTGAGCAATTAAATATTTACCACCTGCCTGCCCTACTTTTCCTGTCGTTAATCCCCTCATCGAGCTTCCTGGGACAGCTCCAGGCATTGCCACCTGCTTGTGTGGAGACCAACAAGGATGGTGCTCAGAGGGGCCTCAGGGCCACACACACACAGGCACCTTCCCAGCCTCTAGAAATGAACCACTGGGGCCCGCAGACCTCTTGCACCCTATTCTGATAAAAGGCCTGAGCTATAAGCTCCTCCACGTGTTTGACTGACCAAGGTGAGGCCCCACGAGGGAATCCAAAGGTCTCGGGGCACCGGCACCCTGCATGGAGCTTTTAACCCTCCACCCTAGGGCTGCCTGTGGAGCCACACACAGGGACACACAGGCAGGGCCAGGGCCCCAAGGCAGCAGCTGCACAGAGTAGAAGGCGCACTGCTAAACACAGCAGATGTGCCTGCCCCGGCCTGTCACTATTGGCAAGTCACTTAACCTTTCTGAACCTCAGTTTCCTCATGATAAAATGGGGACAGCGATGCCTCATCAAGTTGTTATAAGAAGTAAGTTAACAGTAAAATCCTTTTTAAAATGTCAAGTGCTAGCAAATGAGAGTGACTTTATGACTACCAAGGTGCTGGCAATGAAATGACTACTTCTGGTGCACCCCGGTGGCCCTAAGAGAATCCGTCCGTGCCCCCAAAGGGAGGCCTGGGCCAGAGGGAATCCACTGTCAGATGAGGTCTCATCAGAATGGCTGTCATAACTTGACATGTGTGTGATGTGCTGACATAAGCATGAGTTAACCTTCCCAAAAGCCCTATGAGTAGATATTATTTCCATCTTAGAGGTAAGAAAACTGAGGCCTAGAGAGCTAAGCAACTTGCTGAAGCTAGTTGGTGGCAAATCCAGGCTTTCTGGGCTCTCTATCCTCTATTTTTTCCCTTATACCACTTGTATCAGTTAGGAAGCTTTGGGTTGAGAGTAAAAAAAGACGTAAGCAATAAGCACATTTACCATCACACATAACAAGAAGTCTCGAGTAGGGCAGCTCCGGGGTTGGTTAACCAGTGGTTCCCATCTTTCTGCTCTGCCATCCTCAGCATGTCATGATTTCAAGATGTTCCTCCCATGACTTCAAGATGACTGCAGCTCCAGGTACCCCACCAGACCAGACAGAGTTCAGAGTGAGAGAAGCAGTCTCCTCCTGGGGGCATGCCTCCCTTGGGAGTGAAGGAAACCTTTCCCAGACACCCCTTCATCAGATTTACCCCATTTCCCATTGGCCACAGTGGGGCAACATGCCTCTTGCTAAGCTAGTCACCAAAAGGGGAATGGAATTATCACGGCTGACTTACCCCAAGCATGACAAATCCTCTGGGGTAGGTGATGGAGACAGCTTTCTCTGAAGGGTGGAGGATCATGGGTACCCAAGCAAAAATGAGGTTCTGTTTGCAAAGAATAGGAAGGAATGATGGCAGATGGGTAGGCAGACAACCATGCCTGCTCCACCAGCACCATCTCAACTCCACCAGGTTCTCCTATTTGTAGGTGGCAGTTATTATAGTTATTTCTCAGCTGACTTGGAAAGCAGACAGGTCCATGCTCCAATTCCAGCTCTGCCATGGAAGCTTGGGCAAATATCCTAACCTGAAGACACTGTGACTCCCTACCTACCCCCTCTCAAAATTTTGCATTTTTCCAAAGGAAAAAATTATCAGGAAATTTAGAGAAAAGCAAAAGAAATAATGAAAAAGCAAAAGATAAAATGAAAACATAAAGTCAAGCTCATTTCTTAAGCCCAGATCTCTCCATCTAAGCTTGGTTTTAGACTGGCTTGGCTAGACTCAGTTCATAAGCAACAACACCTCTTGCCCGCCGCTTTCCTCCCCTGTGAATACCAAATCTAGCTGCATGGCCTCAGAGTGCACAGTTGAGTTGGACTTTGGACCACTTTAAAGGTCTTTAACTGAAGAAGAGGCTTGACTAGACCCATGTTTTAGGATGGTGACTCTTGTAGAAGTATGGAGGACTGATCACAGAAGGGAGTAGGGGGGTAAGGACTAGGGTCAGAGAGGCCTGTCAGAACCTCTGGGCACTAGGCAGAGAAGAAGGTGTGTGCTAGGGTAGCAGCAGTGAAGATGAAGGGAGGAGGAAGGACAAGTTCAGAGAAACATATCAGAGGATTTCCACTTCCAGTAAGGGTGGACTAGACAACTCAAACCCACTCTCCTTCTTGCTGAGAACGCTAGGAAATCTGGATGAAATATTTTGTAAAACACCTTCTTGAAAGCATCAGAGGGCTGGCAGGAGAGTGATGAATTACTGGGCCAGAATCCAAGGGAGAATGGAGACCCAGGAGGTGAGCTCTTTGGAACAGCTCTTCCCCTGGGGGACGTTTGCTGAATCTGGAGGCAGTGGCTGAGAAGCTGAGCAGCACTGGAAAGCCAGGAGTTGGAGACGAGGGTCTGCCAGGGGGGCTGGGTCTGTCTGGTGAACCCCCCTCACTTTGAGTTGAGACCGGATTAAAAGTGGACCCCAAGCAGACAGCTCAGCTTTAGATCATCTCAGTCCTGGAAGTTATACTGAGGCAACCCCAGGTTTCTAGTGCCCCAGGTTTCAGGTACCTGTCAGAAGCAAACATGAATTCTCTCTTTAGGAAGATTATATCATCGGAGGCATCAAATTATTTCCACAAACAATTTTGCAAATTGTATGTCTGGCATACAATAAAAAATAATGGGGACAATGTGAACAAATCCAGCAGGAAAAAAACACAACAACAACAGAAAAAAGAAACAGACTCACAAGGATTCCAAACATAGGTTTTATTAAATTTGGACTTTCAAATAAGTATTCTTAACAAGATTGAAATTTTAAGGGAATTAGAAACTATCAAATGGAAAAATCTAGAAATAAAAACTAATACCTGAAATTAAGAACTCAGTAGATAGGTTTCATAACAAATTGGACACAGCTGAAGGGATAACTAGTGAACTGGAAGATAGGTCAGAAGGAAATATCCAAATGAAGCACAAAAAGACAAATGAATGGGAAATAAAGGAGCAAGTAAGAGACATAGAGCAGTGACTTTTCAAACTTGACTGTGTGTACAAGTCACTTGGGGATCATGTTAAAATTCAGATTCTGATTTTGTAGGTCTAGGGTGGAACCTGAGATTTTGCGTTTCTAACATGCTCCCAGGTGACGCTGCTGCTTATCTGTGGACCACTTTCTGAATATCAAGAGCATAGAGGATGTGAGAAGAAATCCCAAGGAAGAGGAGAAAGAGAATGGGCAGAAGATAAAATGTCTGAAAACTTTTCAAAACTGATGAAAGACATCAAGCCACAGATGCAAAAGTTCTACAAACTCCAAAGGCAATAACTTAAAGAAATCCACCCCTAGGCTCATCATAAGAAAGCTGCTAAACCACAAACCCAAAGAGAAAAAATCTTAAAAGCAACCAGAGGAAAAAAGACCAGTTACTTTCAAAGGAGCAACTATTAGATTGTCAGCTAACTTGTCAGAAACAGCGGAAGCCAGAAAACAATGCAATGGCATATTTAAATTATGTAAGGAAAATAGTTACCAACCTATGATTTTATACCAAGCAAAAATATTCTTCAAGATTAAGATGAAATAAAGACATTTCCAGAAAAACAAAAACTGAGAGAATTTATCACCAACATACCTACTCTAGAGAAATATTAAAGGATATCCTTTAGCTAGAAGTAAAATGATCCCAGGTGGGAACTCAGTGATGCAGGAAAAAAAGAAGAGCAATTAAATGGTGAATATATGGGTAAATCTAAATTAATATTGACTGTATAAAATAATATGATACTGATGTCATCTTGGGGAGAGTCTAAAATATATACAGAATTAAAATATCTAACAATGGCCTATATATTGGGAGAGGGTAAATGGAAGTTCTAAGTCCCTTGAATTGTCTGAGAAGAAAAGTGTCAATTGATGTTTGACTTTGGTAAGTTAAAGATTCACGTTAAGTAACCACTAAAAGTAGTGAAAGACTGTGTGATAACCAAACTAATAGAGAGGGGGAAATAGAGTATTTTTTTAATACTCGATTCAAAAGAGGGCACAAAAGGAAATAAAAAGAAAAACAGAATAGGTGGGACAAATAGAAAGTATTTAGTCAGATGAGTTATTGAAACCCGAATGAAACAGTAATTGCCTTAAAGATAAATTGACTAAATTATTCAATTAAAAGATAAAGACTGGTAGACTGGCTAGCAATGAAACAAAACCCAAATATGCACTGTTTACAGGAGACACCTAAAACGTAAAGGTATAAAAAGGCTCAACATGAAAGGATGGAAAAAGATAAAGACATACTGTACAGAAGTGTCCAAGAGAAGACTGGGATATAAATATCAGACATAGGATGCTGGAAGGCAAAGGGCATAGAGCTAAAGAAGGACATTTGGTTATGAGGAAAGACCCAATTCACTAGGCAAATAAAAGTGTTCTCGATTTGTGTGAACCTAATAACATAACCTCAAAAGATATAAAAGCAAAAACCGACAGAACTATGAGGATAAATAGACAAACCCACCATCATAGTGGGAGATTTCAATGTACTTCCCTCGATAACTGATGAGAAAAAAAGTGTGCAAGGGTAGAGGAGATCTGAACACAACAGTTAGCACACTTGCCCCAGTGGCCATCCATAGACCCTGCACCCCACAGCTGCAGAGTCACCCAGCAGAGGTGTCTCAGGGAGGGAGGGTGTGGTCAAGGATGATTGCCAGGTTCTGGGCTCAGGCCCTTGGACGGATGAGGATGCTGTATCTAGTTATTTTATCTAAGCTAAAATTGCTGCCCATATATTAGAGTAAAAAAAAAAAAGCAAATTGAGGTAGGCGCTAGAAGCTGAGCGTCTGGAACAGGCAGTGCAAATAATTGTTACAATTTATTGAGTGTCTTCTATGCGTTAGGCCCTGTGCCAGGTGCTTTATTTTAATTAGCACCAATTCTCACTACAATGTGGTTGTTTAATGCGGTCGTTACTATGTGCATCGTATAGATGGGGAAACTGAGGCTCAGAGAGGTAAAATAAGTTGATTAGGATGCCTACTCTCAAAGGAGCCTAAAAGCTCCCAAGAGGGAAGACAAGTGCACAACAATACACAGGACAGATGAAGACGGAGCGGGTGGGCTGAGAATAGGAGGCTCCCAGGCAGACCCCTGGGGCCCCAGCTAGGCCAGGCTTTCCCTCCTGAAAACAGAGAGGGCCAGGCCAGCACCCCAAGAGCAGTGCCCTGGGCACATGGCAGGGAACAGTCACCCACAGGCTGACCACCAGCCCCGCAAGAGGAGGCCCACTCTGTGAGTGTCTGGAGCCCCCAACCTCAAGGAGTTCAGGGCCAAAAGAGCGGAGTGACCAGTATATTTGTTTGGCCGAAACACAGGGTTATAGTTAGGGCACTGGGGTGAGGGGCCGGTTAGGCTCATAGGGATGAAGATGACTTCCTCACGGGTTCTGTTTCTTTCTTGTGCACCTAAGTCCTTGGTTCTGGCCAACCAGTTCTGAAGCTGGCCGCTCCTAGTGCCTCCATCTCAGAGACCTTGTCACAAGCCCAAAAGGACCACCTTTCTCCTCCCATCTGTTTGCCATGCTGGAACCACCTCCTTTAAACCATAGCTCAAGGAGACCTCCTCCAGGAAGCTCTCCCAGATCGACCTGCCTCACTCTCCCCACCCTGTCATTCTTTCCCAAAGGCTGTGCTCCTCCCTTCATATACTGACCTGGTCTTCTCCCTGCTCAGTTCCAGGTCCCCCAGCTGGCATCAAAGCTGTCCCTTCATCTGCCAGCAGTGTGGTGGTGTCTTGGCTCCCCCCTACCAAGCCCAATGGAGTGATCCGCAAGTACACCATCTTCTGCTCCAGCCCCGGGTCTGGCCAGCCGGTAAGTGGGGCCCAGGGCTGAACCATGAGAGGGACAGAGAAAGGAAAAAGTACCCAGCAGATCAGCTGGATTCCAAGCCAAACCCTAGGACTGCTTACATCTGTGCTTCTACCTGGATTCATGGATGAGAATGGTTGCTGGTCACCCAAGAGTGGCTGAAGTCTTACCCACTGCCCGTCTTGGGTCAGTCCTCTGTGCCAGGGCTGCAAGACTGTCACAAGTCCTGGAGGCTCCTTTGAGTCAGGGATCAGGACCAAGCAGGGGTGAAAGGAAGGCCAGGGCCTCGGCTCGTCTGATCTGGCTGACCAAGGAAGCTCCTAGCAGGCCCCAGAGCTGTTGACTGGGGACTGGCTGGTGCATGGCCTCTGGAAATGAACCACTTTTCAGCATGGTCGGCCTGGGCTGGGAGGGATGCTGGAGATCTGCCCTGGGTGGCCCCACAGCATGGAGCCAGAGAGGGGTCAGAGAGGATGAGGGTGGGTGCAGTGGGATATGCACCCATATTCCATTAGATGCATCCTTCCCTCTGCCTCTTTCCTCATCTCCAGCCACTCGGCCACAACGTTCTGCTGGGTGAGTACTCTGGAGAACACCTGTTCTAGTTGCGAGAGCAGGTGCAAAGATAACGATACCTGCCCTGCGAGGGCTTCTAGTCTAGTGAGGGAGGCAGAGGGGCGTGCACTGGAGGGTCGTGAGTACTGTCTAGGAGATGTGCTCAGGGCAGGGAGAGCCGTGAGCAGGCGGAGGAGGCCAGCTTCTCCCTCCCTCAGCAGCTTGGGAGGTGGCAGCAGCCGGAGCATCTGCAGATGAGCTGCTGGCAACCAGAAAGGCTGCCCTGAAATTGCTGGGTAATTGTGTCATCATCTCCTCCTCTTCTCTCTGCTTTCCTGTGGTCTTTCTGAATTACCCTCTGAGTGGTAGGTGACCCAGCTCCTCGCCAGTGAGGCCAGAGTTCTATTACCAGAGGGGAAGCCCAGAAATGTCTTTTCAGTGACTCCGTCCCCTCCTCTCCTCACGGTCACTCCCTCACCTGCAGAAAAGCACACATATCATGACTACAGCTCCATGAATTTTCACAGCACACCCAGGCAGGGAACAGGACATGCAACACCCAGAAGACCCCCTCGTGCTCCTTCCAGTCACTCTCCCACTCCCGGGTAACCACATCCTGACTTCAGATTGGTGTTGTCTTTTTGTACATTATATAAATGGAGGCATACCATGTGGCTTCTTTTACTCAACATTATTTTGAATTTGTGCATTTCATCCATATTGTGTGTGGTGTAGATCCTTCACTCTCCCTTCTGTATAGTTTTCAATTATGTGCTCCTATCACAATTCATTGCTCCATCGTGCCATCCATTGACGGGCATGTGGGTAGTTCTCCATTGGGAGTTCTTACAAACAGTGCTGCTGTGGACATTCTCATACGTGTGTCTTGGAGCTCCTGTGCGTGCGTTCCTGTTGGGTGCCTACCTAGTAGAGGACTGGCTGGGTCATGGGGTCTGCCCAAGTTACGTTGAGGACACCTGCCATTGTTGGGTGGTTGTGCCAATTTTCCAATCCATGCTTTCAGTCATGTCTTTTGCCCCTCTTTCCATTCTCCGCCTGCCCCTCCCACACACACACGTTCAAGGTTCTCATCACACTAAGCTTGTCACCGTTCCAGACACCCACTATGCCATTTCACACTGCTATACCTCTGCCTCTGCTGATCCCTCTGTGGCATGCCCTTCATCCTCTGTCATACAGTGCACACATCAGATGGCAATTAGCTGTTCACATATCTGTCCCCTCACTGGTATGTGGGGTCCCGTGAGGACAAGGGCAGCATTTTTTCATCTTTGGGTCCCCAGCTACCGAATACTGTGCGTGGAACATCATGGTCACTAAACACATGTTTGATGAATGAATTACTAGCAGGCTAGCAATTGCAAAGCCTTAGACACTGGGCACGCTTCCCTCCATGAGTGGATGGGAGAGGGTCCTCATTCACAAGCTGGGGTTTGTGTAGTCATTTCCTCCTCTGATAATGAAGCCTTTCAAAAGGATTGGTGTCCAGGAGCGCAGCCTCCTCATTAACTCGGGCTTCAGGAGCTCCCAGTTGACTGGCTGGGGACCCCTCTGCCAGGCGCCAGAGCAGAGCTCCGGGTCCCCATCCCCTCCTCCTGCTGCTGGAGACCCTCAGAGCCTCCCACCTTCCTCTTTACGGCCTGAGCACGCAGGAACCTCCTCCCTCCTGGGGACATTCCACACAGCATCACACAGGGGCCCGCTGTGCTAGTGCGATGAGAACTTCAGCTCAGCCACATTGCAGGGGAGGGCCTGGGCTTAGTGAGGGACCCGGGGACCTCACCACCATGTGTGACCGTGTGATGCGATCTCTTTGTGCAAAGATATTCCAAATTCCAAACCACTGCTTTACAAATTCATTTATGCAAGAGCTCCAGGAGTGAGTGCTGGGGGTGAGGCCACATGTGTGTATTCGTGACAGTGCCAAACCGTGGATCTGAGTGTGGGGTTGGAGGCAAATGCATGTGAGTCCGAGTGTGTGCGTCCATACTGGAGTGTAGGAACACTCATGTGCGGAATCCTCCGAATGGATGCAGGAAGCTGCATATGGTGTCGGCTCCCAGGAGGTTCTGCCCTGGGGGCGGCCAGAGCCACCCTGAGTCCTGTTCGAAATTTTACCAAACATTTTAATACGTTTGTTGTTGTTCTCTGATTATCAAAATAATGCAATTTTATTGCAGAAAATTCTATAAATAGATAAAAGAATAGAGAGGAAAGTAAAAATTACTTGTAGTCTCATTCCCTAAAGATTGACACTGGCAATGCTTTGGTACGTAGCCTTCCAGTCTTTCATCTACATATATTGTAGAGTTAGGTTTTTTTAACAAAATTAAAATAAAATTTTACATAATGTTATATAATCCGTGTTTTTCATGTAATATATATAGACACTTTTTCACACCATCCAAATCTTCTTTTAAAGGATGATCTTGAATGCCTGTACGTACATAATCTATTTAACCAGATCCCCCATTACTCTATATTTAATCTGTTTTCAGATTTTCACCATTGTAAATAATGATTCAGTAAGCATCCTTCATGGAAGTCTTTATGCATGTTCTCTTAGGGTAAATTTCTATAGGAATTCCTGGACCGCAAAGTGTATGAATATTCTTAAGGTTTGCATACACATTTGCAAATTACCCTTCAGAAGGTTGGCACCAATTTATGCTTCCACCAGCCATTGTAAGTACATACTTGTTCTTGGCACCCACACTAATCCAAGGTATTATATATTTTTAATTTTTGCCAGTTGGATTTTTTTTAAGTGTCTTAAGTTATATTTCTTTGATTACTGGTTAGGCTGATTATTGTCCTATGTTTATTGGCTATTTATTCCATCTTTGGGGAATTGTCAATTTATGTCCTTTGTCCACTTTTTATTTGGGTAATTCATAGTTTTTTCTTATTGATTTATGAGTGCTCTTTACATGTTAAGGATAATAACCACTTTTACACATATAGGTTGCAAGTATTTGCCAGCTCATTGCTTGCCTTTTGATTCTACTTTTGATGTACCATAGGTTTTCTTTTTATATAATTTGAATTTATCAATCATTTCCATTTATGATTTTTACCTTTTTTTTTAATTAGAATGACAGATAAGTATTTACCTATACTTTCTTCTTTCATCGTTTTACCTTTTTTTTTTAACCTTTGATCCACTGGAACTTTATTTGGGAGTGTGGTTGTGTGTTTTGAAAGTGATTTCAGGAGATTCTTGGGGAGTCCAGGTTATAAGGAAGACACCCAGGATCTGAGTAAGACGCTAATACCTTCAAGGGGAAACCAAACCTTTCCTGCCCTGTGTAAACACAAATGTACACCCGGGTACATGCTGACACACACAAGCAAGTACACTCAACTTTTCTCCATCCATGCACACACATCCCTTTGCCCTCACAGAAATATGAGCCAGGAGAAGAACATGTCCCAGTGTCAAAGAACTTGCACACCCCTGGCTTCGTGTAGGTCTCACTGAAACCACACAGGGTGGGCAGAGCTGTATTGCTTTCTTAGTTTGCAGGGGAGAAAACTGAGGCCCCAGGGACCATGAGAGACAGTCTGGGTCATACACCTAGTCAGAAGGGCAGGCAGGTGCTGAAGCCACTGCCCCACCCACCTCCTGCATGGGTATGAACTACAGATATGCACTCAGGCCCCCAAGGACTTCCCAACTACCAGGGCTCAGGGTGGCTGTGCACCCACCCTCAGCAGGGCCCTCCTGGGCCCAGGCCAGATCTCCATGAGGGAGGCAGGAAGAGGCATTTGCAGGATCTCTGGATATTGTGTGGATGGCGGTGCCTTCTCCCTAACATGTCCCTGCAGACAGCCTGGGTGGGACCCAAAAGGGTGCTTTCTCCTGTTATGTCATTGGGCCCCTCAGCCCTCCCATGGGGCACAGACAATGTCCCTCTGTGACCCTGTGTCTGTCTGGAGACCTGTCCTTCAGCGTGCGCATGCCTCCATCTACATGTCCTTGTGCGTGTGAGCGTGTGCATGTGAGCGTGTGTGTGCAAGATCCCGTGACTGCAGAGATAACTAATTATTAGCTCCCTCTGGCCTCAGGGCCCCCCATCTGTTCCAGGGGCTCCCCTCCCTCACTCGACTTCCACCCTGATTTCAAAGAGGCCCTGGTGCCTCCTTTCCCTTCCCCGCGGCTGACCAAAAAATAAAACAAAATGAAAGTCAGCCCCATCCCGCCTGCACCCGGGAAGGGGCTGACAGGAGGTCTGCAAACTAGCGCTTATCAAAAGCGCCTTCTCAAATTCATTTCAATATCTGAGCCTCTGGTTTCCAAGGCAACATAATCTTTTCATCAAAGCAACTGGTAAAACCACTGGGATCCGATATTGTTTTGTTGGCAACTTGTCAAAACTGTCATTTGGTTAAAAAAAATTTATAGATTTATATAACCTACAAATATATACAGTGATCTATACCACTAATAATCATTAATGAAGTGTTGCCCGGCGAAGCTTTCATAGTTCCCTCTCCCGCCCCTTCCTCCCCGGCCGGTGTGCCACCTACAGAATGATGGAGTGGTAATTAGACAGAGGGCTGGGAGGTGACTCTGAGAGGGGACAGGCTGGGGGAGCCTGTCTACAACCCTAATAAGGCAAACACAGTACTTCAGCCGCTTCCCAGAGACGCCCTTTTCTTGGGGTTTTCCTGGGACCCTCCTTCCTGCATCCTCCCTTCTGCTGACTCCCTCAACCTCTCACTGCAAACACTCACATTCCCTGGCCTGGAGCCACAGTTGCCGGTGCCTGGATCACTCAGAGGTAAACTGAGGCTGATCCAGCAACACCCCAGAGCAGGCCCGTCAGCTCCCAGGGCCAAGCCCCGTGCAAAGTCTGTTCGCTGTTGCTCTAAAACAAGGAAGGGTAAATGCAGGATCCTGCCTCCGCGCCCCCCACCCGGCCAGTGCCTCCTCTGAGCCCAGGGTCCCCAGGAAGATTGGAGTTGGAGGCTGGAGGCCCGAGGGTCCCTGTTCTCAGTGTTGCTTCGCCTCCGGCCCGCAGGCTCCCAGCGAGTACGAGACGAGTCCAGAGCAGCTCTTCTACCGGATTGCCCACCTAAACCGGGGGCAGCAGTACCTGCTGTGGGTGGCCGCCGTCACCTCCGCCGGCCGGGGCAACAGCAGCGAGAAGGTCACCATCGAGCCTGCCGGCAAGGGTGAGCAGCCTGGGGCACAAGCTGCCTGCCGGAAGCCCCCTGCTAGAATTCTGGTTCTCCCCGAATAGGGGAATAGGGGATGTCTCCCCTCTACCCTGTCTGTGCCCTGGCTGCAAAGAGCTGGCCAGCCACCTGCCTCCCTCCTGCAGCCACCAAGTCTGGGCCTCTGCTGCCCCCTGACTCCCAGACAGCCACATAGCAGGCTCGAGGCAGCCCCACTACCCTCGGGGCGGAGGGCATGGTGCACCCTCATCCCCCCCCTCCTAACTCTACTCCGGGGCTGAAAGAAGGGCGAGTTAGCCCCACCCCCAGCCCACAGGGGAGCCTCCGTCCCAGTGCACAGCTCCTCCGGAGGGGGCTGGGGGATGGGGGTACCCTGCTTCCACCGAGCAGAGAGCTGCGCGGGGAGCCCCCTCATTCCAAAGCCCGGACACCACAGGCAGAGGCGATCCCACTGATGGCTGATTCAGTCGATGAACGGATGTTTACAAAGTGCAGACCCTGAAGGGGGCTCTGGGCTAGAGGCTGTGCACAGGGTGAATGAGACCGTGTCGTTCTTAGGGGGTGTCCCACTGGATCCCCGACCTGGGCTTAAGGGTGGCATAGGGGCACATGCACCCCCACTTTACAGGGAATGGCAGTTTGAGGCCTCAACCCCTGATCAAGATAGAGCCAGCAGGACAGAGTCACTCGGCGGCCCCCTGTGCCACCCTGGGGCACGGGCATTAGCCACACAAGCCCGTGAGTTCAGCTCGTCTGCTTTGACTCCAGGCCTCCCTGGGCACTTCCTCTTGGCCCTGCCTCCTCCCACAGCCACCTGACTCTCTAGCCTTGGCGCCCAGGACTCGGATGGGGTGTTGCCTGCCTCAGCCCGGCCACCCTTCTGGGGTGACAAACTTCCTTTGGTTGGAACACGAGCGGCATCAGCCCTCCCCTGCCGCAGCTCAGAGTCAGCCAGCATTCAGCTGAGGGCCTGCTGTGGCCAGGGGCCTCCACCTGCCCTGCCAGTAGGGTCTGTCACCCCATGGTACAGTTTAGCACTCTGAGGCAGGAGTGGCATGGCCTACAAAGACAGCTGAGAGCTGTGGGTGGCTCTTCTGGTAGTTTCTTATCTCTCCTGGTCCCCATCCTTCCTCCCAGGGGCACGACCATCCCCTTCTCCTGAACTCATCTCCTTCAGGAGGGAAGGGTCCTGGAGCCTCCCGTCCTCCCGGGACAGCTGGCACTGCCCAGAGCCGGGTCCAAGGGCCTGGGGGCTCAGCAGAAGGCTCGCCTCTTCCCCTGTGGGTGTTAAATAGAACCCTCCCAGAGGCTTTGCACTTCCCAGAACACGGTCACACGTCTTCCCCTTCTGTCCTCACAGCAGCCCTGTGAGGTAGGACAGACAAGCGCCCTGTCCTCTCTCCCCACACACACCCACTCACACACACATTCTCTCACACATACACTCTCACACACACGCTCACTCACACTCTCTACACATACATTCTCTCACACATACAGACACTCTCACATACACACTCACACATGCACACACACATCCAGACACTCACATACACTCACTCACTCACACATACACATTCTCTCACACATGCACACACTCGCTCACACATACACATATACATTCTCTCACACATACTGACACTCATGTACACACGCACACACTCATTCACACATACACGTTCTCTCACACACAATCACACACACATACCAAGACACAGAGAGGTTCAGGGAGCCAGCCCCAGCCACGTGGCAGAACCAGGTGTAGAACCAGGTCCCTAGAGATCCTGGCACGATCCCCAAGGCCCCTGAGACGTCTCTCTGCCCCTGGTGGAGGCCATCTTACCTTGGGCCCCTCTGCTTAGATCCAAGTCCCTCTGGCCACCAGGCAGTCGTCACTGCCCATAGCAGCCCCTCCAGACCTCCCCGACTCTCCAAGCCCCGTGGCCGGGCACGGCCTTCACAGGAGAGGCACCACCATTTCCTGCACCCGGGCCTCTACACGCTGCTTCCTCAACTGCCTCCTGTCTTCCTTCCCCCGACAGGGGCCCACTCTGGCCTCTGAAGCGCCTGGTCACGTGGTTAATCTAACCCCTGTGCCTCTGGGCCTAGCGCTCTCTCAAGAGCCTGACCCGAGTCCCTTCTCACTGGATCCTGACCCCTTTGCCTCCTGTGCTTGCTGCGATGCTGCTGTGCTCCTCTCTCCCTCGGGACTCTCCTTTCTCCTCTGTGCCTATCTGTGTTTGACCCCGGGGCTGTGCCACTCCTCTGTCAATCTACATCCCGCCCTGGTGACCTCAGTCACTCTGCCGCTGACTCCCACGTCAGTGTCTGCAGTCCAGCCATCTCTCTTATGCTCCAGAACGTGTATATCCAGCTGCTTTCTAGCTACCCAGCATGGGAGTCCCCCAGGTTCAACATGAGGCCAAGTCTTCCGGTGTCTCCTGCCTACCCGCTCCTCCTCCATGAGCCTTGTCTCTGTGAGAGCACCATCCCCACCCCCGGTTGGCCCAGCTGTCATCCTCACCTCCCCCTCTATCTCTTCCCAGAAACAGTCAGACCCCAAGTCCTGGCAGCTGTTCCCCTGAGCCCTTCATGAGCCCTAACCTCCCCCCATCCACTGTCATACATCACCTCCAGCCTGCACTCTGGCCACCATCTTGTCACTGGTCGGCGTCCGTCAGGATCATCTCCACCAAACCATCCTCCGCAAGCAGCCAAGGATTTATCTAAAACTCTACTGTGAACATAGCACCACTTACTTGTAAGGCTCCAGGGGCTCCTCCTGACCTCAAGAGGACGTCCAGCCTCTTGTGGCAGCGGAGCCCTTGGGCCTCTGCTCTTGCTCACCGGTGGCTCCAGCCCTGCCCTTCCCCCTTCACTCACCCTGGGGTTGGGTCACCCCAAAGGGTTCGCAGACCCTCACACTTGCCGTGTGCTTCCAGCCTCCAGGCCTCTACTCAGTGTTGTCCCCTTCTCCTGACATGCCTTTCCTTCTCTGCGGACGGAATTTCCTCTTAACCTTCAAGATTCAAGTCAGATCTTCCAATTCCAGAAGCTTCTTCAGCCATCACCTCCACCACTCCCTGAGGGGCAGAGTTCATCCCTCCATCTTTGTGTTCCCGTGGTTACTTTTACCTGCCCCTACCTTTGTGCTTTTCACCCTGTAATGACACTTTTAAGTACCTGTCTCCCCCTCGGACAGTGAGCAACTTGAGCACAGGGAATAGATCTTATGCATTTTGTGAGTCCTCACGGGCTCATTTGATACCTGGCCCATGACTGGTGTTGGCTAAGTGTTGGTTGCATCAGTGACTCCCAGCTGAAGTTCCCTGCACCCACCACCTCCCCAAACCCAAGGTGGAGGTCAGGTAGGGGAGGGGTGATTTGAATTGTAAATTCGGGAACCCTGAGGAAGGTGGGCCCGGGCAGTGTTGGGGTAGAAGTGGGGAGAACCTCATCCTCCCTTCCCTGTAGCCCCAGCGAAGATCATCTCATTTGGCGGCACTGTGACAACACCCTGGATGAAAGATGTCCGGCTGCCTTGCAATTCAGTGGGAGATCCAGCCCCTGCTGTGAAGTGGACCAAAGACAGGTGCGTGCAGGCCCCTGGAGGGATGGGTGACCCCCAGAGATGGGCATAATAGAAGAGCCATGAAGAAGAGAATCGGATGTTGCTCCCTTCCAGCCTACTCACTCACCTCCCCCTAGGGAGGCCCTGCCGGGTACATGGTTACCACTCTCACAAGCAGGCCTGGCCTCCCTGGCCTCCTCTGTTGGGAGCCCAGAAGCTCCCTTCCTGGGTGGTTGAAGAGGCCATGGTTACCGGATATCCCCAGTAAATGCTTAATAAATATCCAAGAATCCAGGGTCCTCTAGCAACCCTCCTTCTGCTCCCGGCTCTATTTGCCTACAGACCTGGGGGAGGCCCCAGGAGGAGGGCTGCTTGCCGTAACCCATCCCCAACCCCTGTCCCCCGCAGTGAAGACTCGGCCATCCCGGTGTCTATGGATGGGCACCGGCTCATCCATACCAATGGCACGTTGCTGCTGCGTGCTGTGAAGGCCGAGGACTCGGGCTACTACACCTGCACGGCCACCAACACCGGGGGCTTCGACACCATCATCGTCAACCTTCTGGTGCAAGGTGAGACCCCACGAGGCAGGTGGGGCTCAGGGGAGTCGGGGGGACAGGAACGGAGAAGGGGTAGGAATTGCATCATGTAAAAGCAAGGGTTGTTAAATGGAAGAAAAAGACCAACCACTGGGGAGACAGAACCTCAGTGGAACAGAGATGCCAAACGGAAGAGGAGGCAGGAGGGGTGGAGAGAGTGAGCAGGAGTGGGGGATGCACCTGGTGGGGCAAAGCCAGTCCCTTGCCCTCATCCCACGTCCCCACGTCCCCAGAGGTTAACACTTTGTGGTGAGGGCTGGTGGCTTTCCCTCGCAGTGCCCCCGGACCAGCCCCGCCTCACTGTCTCTAAAACCTCCGCTTCGTCTATCACCCTGACCTGGATTCCAGGTGACAATGGGGGCAGCTCCATCCGAGGTGAGAGGGGTCTGGATGAGGAGGGGGAGAGGAGGGAAGGAATTCTGGGCCCAGGGGCAAGGGAAGGGTTTCACCCACTCCCACCACTTGTTCCCACAACACCCAGGAAGTGATGGGGGCGGGGGGTGACTCAGACCACAAGGAAGGTACCCAAGTGCCATGGAAAATATACAGGCCTAGAGTTTGGGTTTTAGAACGCCCACCACCCTTGCCACTGGGGAGCTGTGCAAACCTGAAGAAGTCTGTTTACTTCTCTGGGCCTCAGTTTCCAAACCTGTAAAAGTAGACAGAGGTACTAGATAGCACTTCTCAAACTTGAATATGCATGTGAATCACCAGGGATCTGGTAGCTGATGCTCCTGTCAGAGGACTGCACACGGACTAGTAGGCTCTAAATAGGATTCCTTCTAAGCCTCATAGTTCTGGTTTCTGCTCCCCTCCCCATCTTGGCTTCTAAACCCTAAAGCGAGAGCTAAAGAGGGAGAGAACAGTAAAACTCACCCAAGGTCCTTCCAGTTTTGCATCTAATCTGCACCTGCCCCCTCCCAATGACCAAAGGCCCCACTCTGCCCCCTGCCTGGAGCCCAGCCCCCATGATACCTGTTAGGGTGTCCCAGGCCCCGCCCTGCCCTCCCTGAGCCAGGCCAACCTCCCCGACAGGCTTCGTGCTGCAGTACTCAGTGGACAACAGCGAGGAGTGGAAGGACGTGTTCATCAGCTCCAGCGAGCGCTCCTTCAAGCTGGACAGCCTCAAATGTGGCACGTGGTACAAGGTGAAGCTGGCAGCCAAGAACAGTGTGGGCTCTGGGCGCATCAGCGAGATCATCGAGGCCAAGACCCATGGGCGGGGTGAGGCCCGGCGATGAGGGTTTGGGGAGAGATGGGCCCAGGGAGGAGGAGTCGGCAAGAGGAGCCCCCGACATGGGGATGGAAGATGGCTGGGATAGGGCAGGAGGGTACGGGGGAGCGTGGAGACTGGAGGAAGACACACTTAGTTCCCGTCACTACAGCATCTGGACGAATGTCTAGTAGAATGTCTCAGTAGGAGAAACAGGTCCCACTTCGCTCCTGGGGGTGGCAGATGGGTATCATTCCTCTTCCTTCTTCCCACATCTCTCTTCCTCCTTTGCTGAAGCCTTCACTCCAGGTCCTTCTCTCTTCTCCTGCTCCCCTTCCTCCTCCTCTGTCCCCTGGGGCATCCCTACGCCCATCTGTGCCAATCGCTCATCCCCCAGAGCTCCTGCAGTCCCAGCAGCTCCACGGAAACCCTTCCCAGCCCAGAGGAATGCATCCTCCTCCCCCTCAGTCTCTCTAACCTTTCTCTTCCTCTGGCCCCCAGAGCCCTCCTTCAGCAAAGACCAGCACCTCTTCACCCACATCAACTCCACGCATGCTCGGCTTAACCTGCAGGGCTGGAACAACGGGGGCTGCCCTATCACAGCCATCGTCCTGGAGTACCGGCCCAAGGGCACCTGGGCCTGGCAGGGCCTCCGGGCCAACAGCTCCGGGGAGGTGTTTCTAACCGAACTGCGAGAGGCCACATGGTACGAGCTGCGCATGAGGGCCTGCAACAGCGCCGGCTGCGGCAACGAGACTGCCCAGTTCGCCACCCTGGACTATGACGGCAGTGAGTCGGAAAGGGTGGGAGGGGGCAGCACAGAGGCTGGAGCACGGTGTTGCCAGGGAAGCAAGCAGGCAGAGAGGCAGGCACATGAAGAGATGACAAACAAATAGAAACATAGGCAGGACCACAGTCAGGGCAAAAGGCTGGCAGACAGGTGAATCGGCAGGCACAGGGGCAGACAAAGGGAGCAGCAGATTCGTAGGCAGGCAGCTAAATGGGCAGGCGCACCAGTGGCCCATACAGACAGACAGACAGGCAGACAAACAGGTCAGTAACACCACAGATAGAGGGTCTTCGAATGTGCCATCCTTGCTCTCCATTGCTTCAGAGAGATGGAGAGGGAGGTAGGGATGCAGTTGAGGCCCTGCCCACTAGGAACCCTCTGCTCATACAGTACGTTAGCGAGGGTGGACGAGCCTATGCTGCAATGACAGATAAAGCAATGACACGGAAAGCGCCGTGGCTTAACCCAAAAAAGATTTGTTTCTTGCTCTCACAAAGTCTTGGGAAGGTTGGCTGGCCACCATCTTTGAGCTATGCCATCTTGAACATGCAGCCTCCAAGGTCACCACGAAGAGAGAGAGAAAAGCACACCAGTTCTGAACTGCCTTGGCCAGGAGGTGATGCTCATCACTGCTATTCACACTCTTGTCCAGAACTAGTCACGTGATTCTAATCTAACTGCTAGGGAGTCTGGGAAATGTAAACGAGCACATGGATGTTTGGCGAGCACTAACTGGTGTCTGCCATGTGGGGACACGTGCACACACTCACATGCACACCTGTGCACTCATACATGCACACATACACACATGCATATACATACTTACACACACACACATTAAAGGCAGATAGCAGGCTGAATTCATAGGGACCAGTTGTCACAGCCACATTTTAAGTCTACCTATGTGTTAAGGAAACAGAATAAAAGTGGTATCAGAAGCAGATCGGCTCAAACAAGGAAGGCTTCCTGAAGGAGATGACACTTAGATGAGGCTTTGAAAGAGGCAAAGATCAGGGCTTGGCAGAGGGCTGTGTCAGCACAACTTCCTGCCTCCTTTCAGGCACCCAAGGTTAGCAGACATCGCCCATAGGAGTGGGAGCAGAGAGAAAAGGCAGGGTGTTGTGTGGTTTTTGTCCCCATCTGGGGAAGAGAACCCAGGATCGCTCTGCCCTGACTTCTCTCTACCGTGATTCTCACCGTCCACCCACCACTTCACCAGCTGGATGGGAGAAGCTAAGCCTATCGGTCTGCCCTCTAGAAATGAACACTGGGCTCCAACAGGCAAGGGACTCTCTCTGAGAGACTTGAGGGTAATTCTAGAACAGACCCAGGAAGTCATTCATATCATCAGTGTGAAAACTATACAACTGTTTATGGCCGTCCTGATGGGACCAGAATTTGGAGGATGAGAGGGTCAGGGCTCTGTGCCAGGAAGTGAAGGTCAGAGTGAGACCAAGGGCAGCAGGAGAGGTTGAAATGCTACCCCACCCAGGGGACTCTGCACAGCACCCGACTCATAGGGACATCTGACTTTCTTCTTCACCCCCATTCAGGCACCATCCCTCCCATCAAGTCTGCTCAAGGTGAGGGGGATGACGTCAAGAAGCTGTTCACCATTGGCTGCCCGGTCATCCTGGCCACGCTGGGGGTGGCACTGCTCTTCATCGTGCGCAAGAAGAGGAAGGAGAAGCGACTGAAGCGGCTCCGAGGTGGGCAAGTTTCCTATGGGCTTCCCGGGAGGGAGTGTTGACCCTCAGCTACACTGGCCACCTTTCATTGGCTCACAGCACCATCTGGACAAGAGAGAGTGCCTGCGTCCCCTTGAAGGGAAAGCTGCCATTCCAACTTTCTGAAACCTTAATTGTTCACTGCTTCCTCCTCTATGCCCCAGGACTTTGTGTCTGCCCTAACCAGGGCTGACTCTTAGAGGTCCACACTGGTAAAGCCATATTGGTCCACACTGGTAAAGCCATATTTACCAATATGGTAAAGCCATGTTGGTTGGTAAAAAGATGTTGCTCCCTTCCACCCTGGATGCTCCATTCTCTCACACAGGATCCCTGTGACTTTCCTAGGACCCAGCCACTAAAGAGTAGACCTATAGATGGTCTCTAGGACCTTGCTTAGTTCTGTCTGAGCAGTTTCCATGCCATGTCAGATGTTAAATATTGTGAATATCATCCCCTGTCCCAATACCTGACCCTATAGACTGGCATGAATGGGTCTGATTTACCTCAGTTTGCTCAGGGCCTAGTTGATGGACAGAGGATTGGATGGATAGGTGGTTGTAGTGATAGATAGATGGAGGAGTGAATGAATGGATGAATGGATGAATGGATGGATGGATGGATGGATGGATGGATGGGTGGATGGATGGATGGATGGTTGGATAGATAGTTTGACGGATGATTCGATGGGTAAGTGGATGGATGAATGGATGGACTGATCAATTGATCAATCTATCAATGGATAGATGGATAGACATATGGATGGTTGGAGGGATAATTAGATGGTTGGATGGATTGATGGTTGAATGGATGAATGGTTGGATCAATGGATAGATAGATGGATAGTTGAATGGATAGATAATAGATGATTGTATAAATGGTTAGATAGATGGATAGATAGTTGAATGGATACTTGGATGGATGGAGGGATGGATAGATGGACGGATGAATATTTGGATGGGAAAATGGGTGATAAGATGGACTCTTAGAGGTCCACACTGGTGTATGGACAGGTGAATGGATGATTAGATGAATGGATAATTGACTGAATGGATAATTGAATGAATGGTTGGATAGATGATTGGATGGGTTGATGGTTGAATGGATGGATGGTTGGATCAATGGGTAGATGGATGGATGGATGGATAATTGAATGGGTAGATGACAGATGAATGGATGATAGTTGAATGGGTGGATGATGGATGAATGGATGGATGGGTGGGTGGATGGTTGGATGTAGGCAAGCAGCTAGATTTACTCTGACAGATCATTCTCAGCTACAAGAGGTCTAACATTAACTAGGCCCTTTGCTTCTCTTCCTTCTGTTGTTAATTCCTAACCTAAGAATCCTGATCCTATTCAATGCTCCTCTGAAGACAAAGCAGGGACCCCAAAATCCACCAATGGGCTTTTGGAGGAAGCTGCCCTAGAGGAGGAAATGAAGCCTCTTAGTTGATAGTCATCTAGGGCTGCTCATTGACCACCTCAACTTCATCCTCCACTCTCTCCTCTCCCCAACAGATAACTGAGGATAGACCCTCCACTGATGCCCATTTCCAGCCTGCTATGATGTCTTGTTTAATTAGAGTCAATTCAGGAAGCAGATGGAACCCTTTATATAGCCTCTCCTTTGGGAAGGACCTCCCTGTTAGATAAAAATCTGAGGAGAGGAAAACAGACCTCCGCCAAATCTTGAGTTGGGAGCAGGGAGACCTGATCAAGTTTTGGACTATTTTAGAGGTCCTTATGTTTCTCCCTCCTCTTCCCAGAAGACCAGCCTTAGCTCCATTTTAGGGAATTCTCCTAACTTGTTTCCCATGCCTTTTCCAGTTCTCATCCTGCTCAGACTCCATCCTCACCTAGTCCCCTCTCTCTACTGTTTTGCAGATGCAAAGAGTTTGGCAGAAATGTTGATAAGGTGAGCGTCACATAGCTGCTTCCTTTCTTCTTCCCTCTCCCTTCCCCCACTGCAGAGAACAGACTTCTAAGACCCCACTGTCCAGAAAAAAACCCTCCCCCAACCTCTATGGCTGCTGAATCACCCACTTCCAGCCCTTCTCCCCACAGCAAGAACAACCGAAGTTTTGACACCCCTGTAAAGGGGCCACCCCAGGGCCCGCGGCTACACATTGACATCCCCAGGGTCCAGCTGCTCATTGAGGACAAGGAGGGCATCAAGCAGTTGGGTGAGTAACAGGTGCCGTGAGCTCTCTGTCCTGTTCCGAGTGTGCTTCCCCAGGCCACAATCCATGGAGGGCAACCACCAGCCCTACGGCAGTGCCTAGGGTTCTAGCAACAACCCAACAACCTCGGAACTCACTGCAGCTTCTCTCAAAAGCTAAGTTTCCTCCTCTGTCGAATGAGAAGAGTTATCATCGCCTTTCTGGGTCTCAAGCTTGGATAAAGACAAAGAGAAATTTGGGAAATCCAAAGGGAAAGACTCCTACTGATTGTCCTTCTTCCCCCAGGAGATGACAAAGCCACCATCCCTGTGACAGACGCTGAGTTCAGCCAAGCTGTCAACCCTCAGAGTTTCTGCACCGGTGTTTCCCTGCACCACCCAGCCCTCATCCAGAGCTCAGGACCCCTCATCGACATGTCTGACATCCGGCCAGGCACCAGTATGCATTATACCCAGGGAGCCAGCCCTCCACCCACACATGATGTCTTGGGCACAGCATGGGGCACAGGTGATAAAAGAACAAAAAGGGAGGGAGGAGCAGCATAGAAGAATGGAAAGAGCACTGGAGTTAGTCTGGAGACCTTGACTGCAGACTTACTAACTGTGACCTTGGGCATATCGATAACTTTATCTCTGTGGGCCTCAGTTTCCTTACCTAGAAATTTGAGAGGGTTGGGTGTTCTTACTCTCCAAAGGCGGTCTGCCTCTAGCACTGTGAGTCTGGACGTAAGAATAGAACACATCAAGGACTGTAGGGAATGAATGGCCAGTCAGGAGGCAGCAGGAGAGGATATTCTTCCCCAGGGTGAAAGAAAAGATGGGGTGAGTGGGGAGGAGCAGGATGCCACCGCTGCCCCCATGCCTTGACACTGTTGACACAACCAGGTGCATTGTCAATGAGCTGGCTCCTCCGGGACCAGCTATATGGTCAGGAATGGCCGCATGCTCAGCATTCCCAAGGGGGTTTCTGTGGCTGCTTCTGCCTCCTCCCTTGCTCCCCACTGCCCTTTCTGGTAAGTGCCAGCTGCCCAAGCCTGAATGCCCTTGGTTGTAGGGTGCTAGCTCTTGCTTCCTCTGTGTAGATCCAGTGTCCAGGAAGAATGTGAAGTCAGCCCATAGTACCCGGAACCGGTACTCAAGCCAGTGGACTTTGACCAAGTGCCAGGCCTCCACACCCGCCCGCACCCTCACCTCCGACTGGCGCACTGTGGGCTCCCAGCATGGTGTCACTGTCACTGAGAGTGACAGCTATAGTGCGAGCCTCTCCCAGGACACAGGTGAGCCCAAGGCCCTGCCTACATCATGCTCAGTCTCCTCCAGTCCCCGCCATCATCAGTTCTACCTTCCATTTTCCCAACTCCTACCCACCAGCTCGTGGGGTCCAAGGCACAAGTCAGTTTCATTTCCAGTGGCTACTGACTTACTGTGTGGCTATGACAAAAATGCTTGACCTCACTGAGCTCTGCTTGGCCAAGGATTTCATTTTGTTCTCTCAAAAGGTGTCAGAAAAAATGGAACATCTGACATTTGTTGGAGGAAGAAAGGGCTGAGTGTTCCAGGGGGTGGTTGCTTATGTTCAAGAATGAAAGATGTTCTGCCCTTCATTAGCCAAAGACCCCACTTCTCCCACCACTGCCACCTTTGCAGGGTCTTCTGAGCCCAGTTCACTCCATGGCCAGGGTCTCAGACAGCTGCTGGCTTTAGGGGTAGGGCAACTGCTCAGCCTCGTCTCATTTACACCCTTCTCCCCACAACCCACTGATTTCTTCTTAACTCCATGCCCTCCATCTCCCCAGACAAAGGACGGAACAGCATGGTGTCCACCGAAAGCGCCTCTTCCACCTATGAGGAGCTGGCCCGGGCCTATGAGCATGCCAAGCTGGAGGAGCAGCTGCAGCACGCCAAGTTTGAGATCACCGAGTGCTTCATCTCGGACAGCTCCTCCGACCAGATGACCACGGGCACCAATGAGAACGCTGACAGCATGACGTCCATGAGCACCCCCTCCGAGCCTGGCATCTGCCGCTTCACCTCCTCCCCACCCAAGCCCCAGGATGCCGACCGGGGCAAAAACGTGGCTGTGCCCATCCCTCACCGGGCCAACAAGAGTGAGTGCTAGGACCACTTCCCCTGGCTAGACCTAGCCCTGACAGCACCTGGATCCTGCCAGCCCAGCTTGGCTCCTGGGCAGTGTAGGGCAGTGCAAAGAGCAAGGACTTGGGAGCAAGCCAACCAGGGTCCACATCCTGGGTCAACCTCTTAATATCTCTGTGGCCTTGGGCAAGTCATTTAACCTCTCTGGCCTTAATTTTCTCATTTGTAAAATGCAAATAATAGCATATACTCTGTGTTGTCGTGATAAGCATTAGAAAAATGCTATGCATGCCTGGCACATAGTAGGTTCTTATTAAGTAGTGATTACTCCCTTAATCTGAAGTTATGCCAGGATGGAAAGAGACCCTTTATAGGGTCAGCTGCCCAATGGCCTTTGGTCTCAATGCTGTTTGAACTTAATCCAGACCCAAAGGAACAATCCTGGAAGCCCGACTCATGGTGGCCAAATCTCATGGTGGGGAGTGACCTAGCCTGACTGGAACCGCCTGACTCCAGGGGCCTGGCCTTCGGGGTTGGCGGGGCAGGTCCAGGATCACCAGGGGGCATGCAAGGGGGAATCCATCAGCAGACATGGGGGCCGCAGTGTACAAGGCCCAGCTGTCAAACCATGTAGTCTGGTCTGCTCGGTACTGGCCTTGCTAAGTAGCCATGGGGGCTCGGGGCCATCTAGAAAAGAGCCCTGGGTAAGGGAAAGTACAAGGACTTTGGAGGCTGGCAGCGCTGAATGACACCCCCGCCCTTCTAGCTGTGTGAATTTAGGCAAATTACTTAATTTCTCTGAACCTCAGTTTCCTCACTTGCAAAATGTGGGCAGGTATTAACCTCTCCAGGGTGCTGTGGGGACCAAATGACGTCATCTAAGGAAAGTGTCTGGGCGAGTCGGAAGGACAGAGGTGCCTTCACAGGCAAGGGTGCTCACAGAGCCGAGGGAATCAGGATATGGAGGTCCCAGAGGCCTGTCATAGGGAGGCAGGTTAAGAAACTAGGGGGGCCGGCCCGGTGGCACAGCAGTTAAGTGTGCACGTTCCGCTTCGGCGGTTCAGGGTTCGCCAGTTCAGATCCCAGGTACGGACCTATGCACCACTTGTTAAGCCATGCTGTGGCAGGCATCCCACATAAAATAGAGGAAGATGGGCACAGATGTTAGCTCAGGGCCAGTCTTCCTCAGCAAAAACAGGAAGATTGGCGGCAGATGTTAGCTCACGGCTAATCTTCCTCAAAAAAACTGATATGGTCTAACATTGTTCATCTCCTGGACAAGAGGGGACCAAGGACAGGGGTGGGGAAATGTAGCTGACTTCAGATATGTGAACGGCTGCCCTGGGAAAGAGGGGGAGGCCTTCTCTGTGGTTCCTGAGGACAAAATCAGCCTCGATGCACGGAAGTGACAGGGAGTGACAGTCCTTTCCTCCTCAGTGTAAAGAAAAGCTTTCTAAGGGCCAGAGCTCTTAGGAAGTCTTTGTCTCGAGAAGTGAGCTCTCCACCAGCTGAAGCTGACCAGCTGTAGTGAGCACTTAACAATAAGTATCAGTTTATTGAGCAACTACTATACGCGCCGGCCCCTTTCCATGCTTTATCTCATTTGCTACTCACAGGAGTCCTGTAGGGAAATGGGATTATCCCCACTTCACAGGTAAGGAAACTAAGGCTCAGAGAGGTCAAGTAACTGATCTTTCCCGGATGCTCCTTGCCCATCCTGTGCAGGGGCTGCTATGCTAGATTGAAGGGGAGGGGAAGGGTGAACCAGCTGGTCCCCAGAGGCCCCTGCTCCTGACGTCCTCTGCTTCTGTGATTCCAGGTGACTACTGTAACCTGCCCCTGTATGCCAAGTCGGAGGCCTTCTTCCGGAAGGCAGATGGGCGCGAGCCCTGTCCCGTGGTCCCACCCCGCGAGGCCTCCATCCGGAACCTGGCTCGAACCTACCACACCCAGGCCCGCCACCTGACCCTGGACCCTGCCAGCAAGCCCTTGGGCCTCCCGCACCCAGGGGCCCCCGCTGCCGCCTCCACAGCCACCTTACCTCAGAGGACTCTGGCCATGCCAGCACCCCCCGCCGGCACGGCCCCCCCAGCACCCGGCCCCACCCCTGCCGAGCCCCCCGCGGCCCCTAGTGCTGCCCCTCCGGCCCCCAGCACAGAGCCTCCGCGGGCCGGGGGCCCACACACCAAAATGGGGGGCTCCAGGGACTCACTTCTCGAGATGAGCACGTCGGGGGTAGGGAGGTCTCAGAAGCAGGGGGCTGGGGCTTACTCCAAATCCTACACCCTGGTGTAGGGGCGCAGCGAGGAGAACAGCCTTTGCGTGGACCCGGCTGCACCTCCAGCCCTCACACCCAACTTGGCTGTTTTCCTGCATTATTTATATTAAACTGACAGACGAAAACCAACCAACAACGAAAAGAAAACCCCCGAGTCATGAACGCTTGTACATAGAACTCTTTTGTACAAATGAAACTATTTTCTTCTTCTCCATGAAGCCAGGGCACAATGAATTTGACAGTACAAGTAAACCCCACCCCCACCCCACAAAATACGCGTGCAGAGATATATACATATATAGAGAGCGCGGAACACGTCGACAAGCTATGTATCTATATATTTCTCTCGCCGGATTTTGAGACAGAGGCACAAAGACCCAGCAGTTTTTCCCTCCTCCTCACCCTCCCTCCAATCTAGGTGGTTTTGACCAAGACCGAAATCCCAACTCAGAGAACACTGCATGCGATTTTACTGTTCCCAGAAAACCAGGAGTTGCTTCAATTTGCAGATGCTTATGTGTTAATACCTTTTTCTATGAAAAAAGACCCAGCGCCGTGTGCAATAAAGGTTATGTTTCTACGTGGTGGCTTTTTTCCCATCTGGCGAGGGCCAGTGGGGAGTGAGGGAGGAGAGGCCCCTCTGCCAGGCCTCTGTCTCCCGTGGAAACTTTGAGAAGCCCGGCTTTGGCGCAGCAGTTAAACTTTTTAAAACGCTCTCCATTAGCCAAGGTGCAGTCTTCAGCACCTGTTCTGTCCTAAAATCTGTGCTGGGCCCTAAACGGGACCAGCTGTGTGACTTTGTGCATGCTCCTAAACCCCTCTGAGCCAGTTTCCTTATCTATAAAATGCGGCAACCTTGATGAGAGGTCTGCAGAGTCTGGTCTGGGGGCCCGCGTCTACTGCCTTCTCTCCTCCAGGGAAATAGAGTGTGGCCAAGGGAATGGAGCTATGCAAACCTCTAGTGAGGAGTTAAGTTATTTAAGAGGGGCCTACAAGCTGGGAGGGGCAGAAGAGATTATATACCCCCTGGGGTCGGGTCAGAGCCTGAAGTTCTGGGCTGACTGTTAGGGCAAGGTGAGGCCCAAGGCAGTAGGGAGAGGTCACTGGAGGTCAGAGAGGTGAAAGGGGCTCATGGAGGAGGGGGAATGGGGCTCAGCCAAAGAGAATCAGGAGAGGGCCCCCCCCACATCCTTCACCTGGTGTCAGGGAGACAGCAGATTGCCAGGTGGAAGGAACCCCGCCTATGCGCAGGTGTGCAGAGGGGCGGTTTCTGACCGGAGGGTCAAGAGCGTGCGGGCTGGGCCTCCAAGAATGTGAAGGGTTGGATAGGCAGGGGAGAGGGAAAGAGCCGGGAGACTGCAGAAGCCCAGGAGCATAAAGTTCATGGTCTCCCTCCTCCCTCCACCACGCCAGAACCCCTGGTGAAAAAGAAGCGCACCTCAAAAGTACAGAGGGGAGTCCCTGAGTTCAGCGCCCCAAGTCAAGGCTGAGCTGTGGGTCAGGAATCTGGAAGGAAGATGAGTCTGAGACTTGCTGCTCCCCTGCAGCTGAGAGGAGGAACTGGGAGGGGATGGAAGGCCCGAGAAGAGGGCAGGCTGTGTGCAGGATGCAGGTAGGTTGCACCTGTCGGCCTAGGCCACAGCAAGGCGCTACTCGGGATGCACAACATTAATAGAAGCACTTTCCGAAAAGCAGCTCATTCCACAAACATTTCCTGAGCACCCGGACGAGTGCGGGAGCAGAGGAGCTCCCGCCCACGAGAACTAGATTACAAGGTAAGCAGGGTCGACATCCTAAGGGGGGAGGGGGCCGGGGGCAGCGGGCAGCGGCTTCTCTTTGGTCACTCCTAGGCCCATAGGGAAACTCCATCTTAGCCCTCAAACCCAGGACGCGCCTGGGAGAACCAGCTAACAGCATTAAGAATAGTGAGAACAAGGCTCTGTATTCCAGGCACCTGGTGACAATCCAGCTTCATTCCAGCCCTGGGAGGACCGGACGCCTCTCAGGGCTGCGCGCGCCATCTGCAGGTCGCCTCCCAAACTGCAACACAGTGACAAGCCTGGGAATTCCTCCTAGAACTTGGCTGAGCACGCCCATCCCCCACCCCACGCCTGCATGCTGGACTCGGGGGAAACAGACGCGAATCAGACCCAACTCCGACCAGCCCCAGGGAAGGAACAAATCCCCAGAGGCTAGAGTGGAATGGAGCCACCCGCCTAAGGGCTGCAATGGGGAGCCCCGCCATGGGAATACATTACGGAGCCCCAGACTACGTGACACGGGCTGAGCAAATCGCGGTCCTCCCTTTGGCTCCTGTACCTCATTGAAGCTTTGAGAGGTGGTCATACGATCTCCATCCGATAGGCGAGAAAGCTGGAGTTCTGCAGAGCTAAGGAACTTATCCAAGGTTAGCGGAGCAGGAGGAGATGGAGACTAGATTCAAACTCCAGGTGTCTGGTTCCTTAATCTCGGAGCCATACTGCCCCTCGTTCCGCTGTTCTGAGGCTGAGTTTCAGTTCGGCCCCGAGGGTGTTGCCGGATGAAGAGTCCGCTAGGGACCAGGCGAGCGTGCTGGGCTTCCTGCGGGAAAGCAGTCAGTGTGGAGCGGTTAGTGACCAGTTCGGGGAGGTGAGCCCGTGTGCTGGGCTAGACAGAGCGGGAGCTCTGATGGACTTTCTTCTGGCGACGGATGAGATAGGAGGGGAGGGACTCCGCTCTGGGGAGCTGGTGGCGAAGGCCTGGGGCGTGAGGTGGACAGTGTAGGATGAGAAGGCTCTGGAGAGGCAACGGAGAAGCGAAACTTGAGCCAGTTTAACTTGGGTTCAGCTGAGCTGGGCCCCTAACTAGAAAACACAAGGTCTGCAAAATCTCTCACCTCCATATGTTCTTTAAACCGCAAGCCTGCGTGTTTGAACTGTCCCCAGAAGCTAATTCACAAATCAGGTCAACTCCTGCTCACACACTCCCAGCTCGGCATCACTGAGCTCTGTGTCTGGAGCAACCATCTTAAACATTTTCCTGCTCCTTTCCAGATCTCCACTGTCCACCACAGACAAGGCCACTCTCTGTCTCTAGAGCTTTGGTCCTCAAAGCCTGGTCCCCAGACCAGCAGCATCGGCATCACCTAGGAGCTTGTTAGAAATGCAGATTCTTAGGCCTCCCCCCAGACCCAGGGATCAGAATCTGCAGTTTAGCAAAATCCCCAGAGGATTCCCGTGCACATTACGGAGAAGCCCTCCTCTAGAAGGCCTTCAGAGAGACCACCCGCCTTCTCTCCCTTCTGCCAACAACCAGAGCTGGACCCGTGGGTCTCACACTTAGTGGCACATGAGATTCACCTGAGGAGTTTGTTAAAATACACAGAAGCCCAGCTCTCGGCAACCCCAGCTGAATCACGACTTGTGGGGGTGCAGTCCAGGCATTTGTATTTTTTTATCATGGTAAAAGATATACAGCATAAAATTTACCTACTCTTTTAACCATTTTTAAATGTACAATCAGAGGCATTACGTCCATTCACAATGCTGTGCAACTATTACCACTATCCGTTTCCAGAACTTTTTCATCTTCCCAAACAAAAACTCTATACTCATTAAACACTAACTCCCCTGCCCCTCGCCCGGCCCCTGAAGACCACCATTCTGCTTTCCGTCTCCGTGAATTTGACTACTCTAGGTACCTGGTAACAGTGGAATCATTGGGTATTTCTCCTTTCTGTTGGCTTATTTCACTCAGCATGTTTTCAAGGTTCATGCATGTTGAAGCATGTATCCGAATTTCATTTCTTTTTAAGGCTGAATAATATTGCACTGTGTGAATATACCATTTTTATCCCATTCACTTATTGAGGGACACTCGGGTTGTTTCCTTTGGGCTGTCGTGAATACTGCTGCTGTGAGCATTGGTATATAAGCACTCGTTTGAGTCCCAGCTTTCAGTTCTTTGGGGTATATCCCTAGGAGTGGAATTGCTGCCCCAAATAGTAATTCTATGTTTAGCTTTTTTTATGAAGAAAAAATTTTTATTGAGGTATAATTGACATACAACATTATATTAGTTTCAGGTGTACAACATAATGATTCAATATTTATATACGTTGTGAAATAATCACCACAATGAGTCTAGTTAACATCCATCACCATGCATAGTTACAAAAATTGTTTTTTCTTATGATGAGGACTTTTAAGATTTACTCTCTTAGCAACTTTCAAATATGCAATACATCATTAACTACAGTCACCATGCTGTCCATTACATTCCCAGGACTGACTTATTTTATAAGTGGAATTTTGTACCTTTTGACCTCCTTCACCCATTTCGCACACCCCGCACTTCTGACAACCACCAGTCTGTTCCATCTATGAGCTTGGGGTTTTGAGTTTTCATTTTTCATGTTCCACGTATAAGTAAGATCATATGGTATTTGTCTTTCCCTGTCTGACTTATTTCACTCAGCATAATGACCTCAAGTTCCAACCATGTTGTCATACTTTCTTTTTTGTGGCTGAATGATATTCCAATGTATTTATATACCACATATTATTTATCCATTCACCTATCGATTAACACTTACATTATTCTCATATCTTGGCTATTGTAAATAATGCTACAAGGAACATGGGGGTGCAGAAATTTTTTCAATTTAGTGTTTTTGTTTTCTTTGGATAAATACCCAGAATGGAATTGCTGGATCATATGGTAGTTCTATTTTTAATTCTTTTGAAGATCCTCCCCACTGTTTTCTACAGTGGCTGTACCAATTTACATTCCCACCAGCAGTGCACAAGGGTTCCCTTTCTCCAGATCCTCACCAAAACTTGTTATTTCTTGCCTTTTTGATAATAGCTATTCTAAAAGATGATATCTCATTGTGGTTTTGATTTGCCTTTCCCTGATAATCAATGATGCTGAGCATCTTTTCATGTGCCTGTTGGCCATCTGTATGTCATTTTTGGAAAAGTGTCTATTCAAATCCTCTACCCACTTTCTAAACAGGTTGTTTGGGTTTTTTCTATTGAGATGTATGAGTTCTTTATACATTTTGGATATTAACCCCCAACATTTATGGTTTACAGATATTTTCTCCCATTTGGTAGGTTGCCTTTTCATTTTGTTGATGGTTTCCTTTGCTGTGCAGAAGCTTTTTAGTTTGATGTAGTCCCACTTGTTTATTTTTGCATTTGTTGCCTTTGCTTTTGGAGTCAGATCCAAAAAACCGTTGCCAAGAACAACGTGAAGGAGCTGACTGCCCATGTTTTCTTCTAGGAGTTTTATGGTTTCAGGTCTTGTGTCCAAGTCTTCAATCCATTTTGAGTTAATTTTTGTGAATAGTATAAGACTGTGATCCATTTCATTCTTTTGCCTGTGGCTGTCCTGTTCTCCCAACACCGTTTATTAAAGAGGGGGTCCTTTTCTCATTGTATATTCTTGGCTCCTTTGTCATAAATTAATTGACCGTATATGTGTGGGTTTATTTCTGGGATCTCTGTTCTGTTCCATTGACCTATATGTCTGTTTTTATGCCAATACCACACTATTTTGATTACTATAGCTTTGTAATATAGTTTGAAATCAGGGAGCATGATGCCTCTAGCTTTGTCCTTTAGTCTCAAGATTGCTTTAGCTATTCAGGGTCTTTCGTGTTTCCATACAAATTTTAGGATTGTTTGCTCTATTTCTGTGAAAAATGCCTTTAGAACTTTGATAGGGATTGCATTGAATCTCTAGATGGCTTTGGGTAGTATTGACATTTTAACAATATTAACTTTTCCAGTCTATGAGCATGGAATATCTTTCCATTTATTTGTGTCTTCTTCAATTTCTTTCATCAGTGTCTTACAGTTTTCAGTGTAAGGTCTTT